CAAGGTATATTTTGGGAAATCGCAAGTCTGCAAGTGGTGAATTGCTTAATGAGGTTGTCGTTACTGAAGGAAATCTGGGGACTAGTTCCTAGTCTCAAGACGCCAAAACTCTCACCCGCGCAAAAAACTATTCCGGCAGTTACGCAAGATGGCATGCATCTCGCATCTTTTTGACTGATTTTGTTCTTAACTCGGTGACATAGCCCTATAGACCTTCCTCATCTCCTGCGATAAAACTGAAGAAATAACAGCAAACTGATCCCCAAAGAGAGAAAGGGAATCCAAATAAGGCTAATTGTTTGTGCCCGATATTTCGATTTAAAACACAGAACTTCGTGTACTAAACAAAGGAAACACCTGTAATTCCCAGATTCGCCATTTTTTTAATTATGGAGAGCGAGGACTTCTTTTGTTTTATACTGATTTGGGACATTTAAACAACCTTTCACTTGTTTCTCGTTGCGTAAGCACGTGCATAATAACAGCCAATCAGGAAACGTGTTTCTCATAATCACGAAGTTGCTTTGTGGCGCAATATTCAAATTTAAAATTCTCTTACAATCATTTCGTTCGGGAAAGAAGATGCGAAAGTACACTGCGTGTCAAACCATTTTGTACTCTAGAGCAATGTATCTCTTTCCCAAACAAGTTCATCGGACCATCTGTGTCAACCTTTTACTGCAAAATGTGAACAAATAACCCGTTACTTTCTCTGTTTATTCGACGAGACAGATTATTGTAGAGATAGCTGTAACCGAGTAAAAGGTAGGTAGAGTTATTCGCTTTTGAATTTTTTGTACGTAGTAAACGGTTGCAGTTCTCATAGCTGCTTATCGAGACTAAATGCTCGATAAGGTGGATTCATTCTTATCAGCGTTCAACGTTGAGACTTATTGCGAATAGGATTGTTAGTTATATAGAAAAAGTGCAAGCGAATTCTTTTAAAAAATATGGCCAAATCAAGATGAGAATTGTACCGTGGGCTGACTGTTTAGGGAGGCGAATTTTGATCCACGTTCTGTTTTACCTCGTAGTAGTAAATACAGGGCTCTATCAACGACGACGGCGACAGCAACGAGAACTTCTAAAGCAATAGATTAGGTTTAATAAGCAAAAGAACAACTCTACACGTGCAGTAACATTTTTCTCCACATTTTTTTTCGTCACTGCTCGAGCGCGATGTGAAATTCTATTGTGCGTCGATTTTCGGCCCCCGCGTAGGAGGGGACCATGGGAACGAGTTTGTCCCAAGATACAATTCGAAAGTCCAAGGCGCATCTCAAATGACCATTTAACAACTGACTGAATTGGAGCGGGGCGTTTCATTTCACTACCAACCGAAATTCTCAGAAATTTTTGCTGAATGTCATTATCTTTAATATTACACTCCAGTTTCTTTGAATATGAAAAAAAGGATTAAATTAATGTAATATTTTTAAAGGAATATAAATCATGGGGCAGTTCTTCAAAGGAACGGGAACGCCACGCAATTCTCTTCTCTCTCTCCCACCCCACTAGGAATAACTGCATGGAGACTAAACTGTATTTTATAAAACACTCTGGAATATATTTGTTTCAACAACTGGGCGATTTCTCCTGCGCTGATTGGTTGAGAGCTATAGTCTGCCAGAGTATAGACTAAGGAAATGACGCGATGATGGCGCAAAGTGTTTTTCTCTTTCTCTCTCTTTTGCAAGAAACGTCGCCGGGAAAAGACCATAAAAGTGAGGTCAAAATGTTCAGAACTTTGCAGCTTCAGCTCATGGTTTCACTGGAGTTTTCAACATTTTGACGTCCTCTCTCTAGTCTAGCCAAGAAAAATGTTTGTTTAATTTTGTTAAACAGCAAATGTGATAGTATCAATTATCTTGTCCAACTGGGATGTGACGCTGGAATTACCTTTTACTTTATTCCATTCCAAGCCTGCAGCAGAAACACCTCCACCCATAGCTGTCCAATCGGCACCCTCAGAAGAGACGGCGCAAGGTAAATACAATATGTGTAGGAATGGGAGGGAGAAGTACTTTCCTTTACCATCCCCCACACCATTGCAATATCCCGTTGCCCATATGGAAGAAGGCAGTGGGTAACATATTCTCAAGGGATGGGAGGGAAGCCATAACCACGGGCCTCCTCCTCACTCACACCAGTCAAACAACCTCTACCCAGTGAGGAGGCACCAAGAAGTATACTACTCAGAAAATACTCAATAATGGAGGTAGGATACTCGTTAGTATCGTTTTACGAGTAGAAAACGATGCAATCTAATAGGCTGATATATCAACAGGATGGGAACGTCAGTTGACGAAGGGAAAGCGCGCGTAAAGGACTAAACACGACTTCCGGAAATACTGATTAAAAATGTATAAAGGTGTATCTTGTTGAAGTTGGACGGGAAAAAAATCATTCCTCCCATAGATTAGTGTGTCTCTTGTGTTGTTTTTTAAATACAATGGTTTTACGTAGTGGTAAGTAATTAACAATTATTCCACGAGTGCGCGTTGGATATGAGATGGTAGTAGCCAAAGACGCGCGTTAGGGCCGAGTTGGCTATAATCATCTTATATCCAACAAGCGCGAGTGGAATAATTGTTTTATTAAAACGCCCTCAAAATATTCACAATTCTTCCCGACTTTATTTGTAAAAACAACCGATTTTCACCTTGTGTTTAATTTTGAGCAGACGTGTACAGTTGGAAAGCATGGTATAATAGCCTCTCACGCAGAAGTAATTAGGAGTTCGTCACGCGTTCCTGCCCCACTTAGTGGGGCAGGAACGCGTTGCGAACCTCTAAGAACGTCTGCGGGGGACGCTAATGGTATAATGGCTCATATACCAAAACGGTTAAGCCAATCGGAGCTCTAGAATTGCATTATTCAATGATTCAGGTTTTAATAATAGAGATTATCGTATTTCCATTGTTTTAGAGTTTTCATGTGGACGATTCAAATACGCAACGTATGGACGTGTAATTTTTGAAGACGGAGAAGAAAGTCTCTGTTTTCAAAAATATGCGGATACCTGTGGACAGGATCTAAGTTTAAGACACCTATATATATATAGGTGCAACTGCCACCTTTATGTGAGTGGTCAAAATAACCTCAGAGAGCACTCATCTTGACCACCGCATTAGAAGACTTGTGGTGTCGTTGTGTATTCACACCCTCCTACAAACTAATGTAAGTGTCCTTGTGCTGGTGGATTGTACCTTCCGATAACGCAATTATTCTTTAAGTTTTGGAATTATGAATGGTTCTTTTATTTCCCAAGAAATAGGCAAATTTTCTAACTAAAGAAAAACTTAATAGGAAAGTTTGCCTGAGTCAATCACATTTGGGAATTGAGAAATGCTGAGATTCTGTCATACCTTGTGTCTGTTCAGTTATACATCACAAATGACACGTCGAGTGTGTCCCCTTTTTCTTGCTTTTTTCCCGTTCTGTTTAGTTTTTCTTCGTTTCTTTTCGTCCTTCGTCAACCGATAAACTTTTGCTCACAGATCTGGATTATTATTTAACATAGGTAGACGGACTAAATGAATTAGGAAAAATTCCTCTGTCAGCCCAGTTGGACAACAAATTTTGGCTGTCCTGGGTTTTTTGTTTTCGTCTAAATATGTCCAAGAGAAGCAGTAAGAACTACTCTATAACTGGACACAACACTGCACTGTACCGGTACTCCGGCCTGGTATGAACAGAAACTGGAACAAGCTTAATCGAGAATCAATCCCCGGGTGGTTGGCTGCCGAGGGTCTGGTGCACTAGATCCCAATCCTCTCTCCTGATGCACTGCGACCTTCATGTACGGTTTTTTGAGCTTATTTTAACCTATGGATAAGCAGCTTCAATGTACCGCAACTTGTGGTTCATTCTAATCCTTGGCGAGATTTTATTTTCCTTTCTTTCTGAGTCGAGTATGCTATAGTGCTCGAAGAGGTTGGACGTGCCTCCAGCAGCTCCACAAGTTTTCCAATAATTAGTTAATTTCGAGTACAAGTTAACAAGTTTATCGACTGTATATTTTTTAAAATAATTAAATTGTAACTCCTTTGTATGACTGTTCTGCCTAGATTAGCAAATGCTACTTCCGGATCAGTCTCTTTGTGTCTTGTAGTTGCAAATATTTTACTAATAAAGTTGAAGTTGTTTGGTAATGCACCATAATGAGTTTGAAACAAAGGAAAACTAAACTTTGAACCTACGAATGACAATGATTGGTGGAACAAAATATCACTAGCCAATAGAGTTTTATTTCCGCCTTGATGAACTCCTCAATTGAAAACACTTTGGATGAATTAGCACATCATACCCAGTGGGAAGTATCTCTAAATGAATGGTTACCTCGCTACATCCTTTAATATTAGTCATTTTCTTTGATAAGAAACACGTGGCATTGGCAGACAATATTAGTGTGTCAGTATAATATGACGACCGACTCCAAAATAGATTACAGAAACTCTATGTACTATTGCGGGTGAAGCGGATGAAAGTGATTTTTTAAACGTGACACGTTTACTCGTTGAGAATGCCAGGTTATTCCGTTATGACCGTCAATATGAACGGGAAGGCAAAGGCAGATGAAAGAAGGGCGCTGTTGTCGGAAATTATAAGTGGAACAGGGTCGTCTTTGGTATTCTGTCAAGAACCTCCAGGCTATTTCGAAACAGACGTGGTCCCTCTTGACTATGGCTTCGTTAAAACTGGGAATGAAGCGGCTGTAATGTGGAGTAATCAACATTTTCATGGCAATCCTGTGGATCCTGCGTTGAAAACGAGAATCAGAGACACACTGATCACAACAAACAAAATTGATCGCGAGATGGCAAGCGAGTTACCCTCGCGAACTGCAGTCGTCATGTTAACGGCTGAAGGAGAAGAAGCTTGTAACTTTCCGAAGCCCTCTTTTTTAGCAGTGTCGTGGCATGGGCCTAACTCAGGAAAGAAAAGGTGGACACTGGAGAAAAAACAAAAAGTTTTGAAAGACCTCATTCTCTTTTTGTGTGAGATATGTTGTGAGACGAATGTATCCTCTATTATTATAGGAGGAGACTTCAACTTAAACACTTTAGACAAGAATGGCTTAGTTAACGCGTACTTTCCTTTGTATGTGTTGAGCCCTCGAGGTAAACTCGCGAAAGAACGTAAGGGACAAGGACGTCCCTACATCGGCTACAAGGATAATTTTGCCATTATAAATATTGCGCCTTCTGTGGGTCGCCCTTTTGTAGAATTGAAATTGTCTGAAGTGCAGCCCCTTTCAGAGTTTGTGTATGTGAACGAGGAGGGAGATATATTAAACCACGACCCTATCATAGGTGTTCTTCAGCTTGAGCAAACTCCGTCAACTGGTAAGTTTTGGGTAGTAGGCGAGAGCTTTACTTGGCTGGTACCAGCTAAGATCTATCTACTGAAACTAATTGTTACTTCTAATTTCTGTGCTCCATGAGATTTCAAGGAGCTTCGCAGGAAGAATAAGAATACTGTAGTTCATATAAATCAAAACAAAACGTATCTGAAACCCGCAATTGTGCTTGTTCATGTAATTATGAAATTTGTTCTCAAAACTATGGCAAAAAAATGTGGTAAAAAAGCGTAAGATTCTCTTAATTTTATACCAATAAAACCCAACTCGTCAGCAACGCTGCCTTCATCACGGAAAAATGTTTCAATCCGATCCGTAACTTGTCTGAATTATATATTCTCAAAATGCGCGCCTAATTATGAATTCTCAAAATGCGCCCGTAAAATGTGGCTTGTTAACAAAATGCGTAGAAGTGTAGAATGAATAACGAAAATTGTTTTTAAAACAGTAACAACGTTGTTGTATGAGCACGCCTTTAGTCAAACGAGTTAACGTTAAAACGTTTGCGAAAGTTTGCTTCAGAAGGCGAAGGATTCTTGTAGATTGGAAACTGAATTACATTCAAATCCTGTTATTGTGGGCACCCCGGCTGGTGACCGCAACTTTTATGGTCTTGATAGCAAGGGTCTGTCGAAGCGAGGTGCAATAAGGAATTTCATTGGTAACACTTACATTAGAAGGGTAATGTGTACTTACATTTACAAAGATTGAGATTGATGCGATACAAAAGATAAAAGGGGGATAACATATTTTTCAGCGTCTGAATGTTAAAAGTTGCCGCTCGGTGTCTGAGAATTGTGCTGAAGGGACAGAACGAAAAGTTTTCGTAACTCCGCAATAGATGACAGTTTTATTTGATTCAGTTAAAGCTGTGTAATTTATTTTGCCTGGGAACTAGCTGCTGTCCCTATTATTGGAGTGTCTTTACTAGCGAGGTGTCCGTAAGGCTGTTTTTAGCAGTAACTTCTGATGTTAGAAAAGTGAAAAACAAAAGATTTATAGTGCGAATCAAAAAACCGTGAATACTTTGATTTGATTCTGACAGGTCGATTGTGTACTGACTATCAATCACAATAAAGTTCACGGAACGCTAGCAAACCTCAGAGCCACAATGATTATCGTTGTTGCCTGCAGCTTAGTTTCTCACGCCTCATTGGCTTTTCCTTGCTGTGACAATAACATTTCACAAAAATTTTGACTGGCTTGGTATTCAACAACATTCCACCAACAAAAGGAAGCGCACTCTAGTGATAAATGCAACGATTTGAGAAACACTGTGATTAAAAAAATCTGCCCAAGACTTCTGAATGTAAGGTGATGCGAAGTTACCTCCTCCTACAGCAGGAAAAAAATAATAATAGAGTACACGTCTTCCAAAACTGTCTCGCAGTGATAACAACTGTTTCGGGGATGAACTCTTCAATTTAGGACTAAAGGTACTTTTCCTCTGCATGCATGGGAAACGACCAATCTCAGCCAACACAGCACGCGTAGCATTCAGCACATTGCATAAAGGTGCATCCATCTCACCTCTTAGTGAAATGTGTATATATTCTTATTTACAGGTAGTCTCTAATCTCTTTAAAAGGGTTTCTTTCTATTCACCATGCTTATTTCTTCACAGTGTTCAAACAGGTGCCAGGAACCTCAAACCTTCAAGCATTCCAGGTATTAACCACTCTGATAACATCTTGCCACTTCTATCAGCATAAATAGTAATATAAACAACTGCACTTTTTCCTACATGTACCGGGCTTTGCTCAATTTCCTTTACATTTCTGCCTCGACCACTAAAAGAATAGAACCTATTCACGTGTATGCCTTATTGTCCCAATGTTTTGACGATACTATTTTTTCCCCTCAATTTATTTCATAAAATGATAGGTTCATGTACCGTAAGTTACTACGTATTGGACGAAAATGTTGTAAGATTGAAGCTAGTTTATAACATTTAACAAGAAACCAAGAAGCAGGTTGCTCTCTTAACAAATTATGAATTTTCTAATTGAAGGGGTCGTCGACCGTGCTTATTATTGACGTCGTGAAATTCCCCGCCAAAAGATCCTTCGCGTCGTTATCAGAGATGTTTGTTTTAAACAATGAAAATTTAATATAAACCTCATCGTTTGATGTCGGTTACATTAATTCAGTACATCTTTCTTTCAGCCCCCCATACCGATAACTCAAGCAGTAATGATGCCTCCACCATCGCCCCCCATACCGATAACTCAAGCAGTAATGATGCCTCCACCATCGCCCCCCATACCGATAACTCAAGCAGTAATGATGCCTCCACCATCGCCCCCCATACCGATAACTCAAGCAGTAATGATGCCTCCACCATCGCCCCCCATACCGATAACTCAAGCAGTAATGATGCCTCCACCATCGCCCCCCATACCGATAACTCAAGCAGTAATGATGCCTCCACCATCGCCCCCCATACCGATAACTCAAGCAGTAATGATGCCTCCACCATCGCCCCCCATACCGATAACTCAAGCAGTAATGATGCCTCCACCATCGCCCCCCATACCGATAACTCAAGCAGTAATGATGCCTCCACCATCGCCCCCCATACCGATAACTCAAGCAGTAATGATGCCTCCACCATCGCCCCCCATACCGATAACTCAAGCAGTAAGGACGCCTCCACCATCGCCCCCCATACCGATAACTCAAGCAGTAATGATGCCTCCACCATCGCCCCCCATACCGATAACTCAAGCAGTAAGGACGCCTCTACCATCGCCCCACATACCGATAACTCAAGCAGTAATGATGCCTCCACCATCGCCCCACATACCGATAACTCAAGCAGTAAGGACGCCTCTACCATCGCCCTCCATACCGATAACTCAAGCAGTAAGGACGCCTCTACCATCGCCCCACATACCGATAACTCAAGCAGTAATGATGCCTCCACCATCGCCCCACATACCGATAACTCAAGCAGTAATGACGCCTCCACCATCTCAATTAACACAAGCAATATATAACATGTATCCACCACCTCCAACAACAATTAACAGCTTTCCACTACCTGGATAATAATAGTAGTAGTAAAAGTAGTGATGATAGCAGATGTTGTAATGATTACATTTCTTAAAATGGCAAATTTCAATGACAGCAAGACGCCAGGAGCTCAGGGCGTACATTAAGGTCAGAATGTGTTTATAATGGGAATCAAAATTTTTCCTCAGTATGCTGTGTGTGTGGTAAACTTTTCCAAAAGACTGATAAGTTTTCATTTTAAGTTATGAGCACTTTTTTCCAGGCTTCCTGATGTTACCTGCCTACAGGGTGGATATTCGAACCGGGGTAATTGGAAGAAGATCAAATATCCAATTACAGCGTTTTTTGAAATCAAAATACTTTCCAATTATTTTGCAAACGACCAATAACAATTAAGAATTCAACAATACGACCATTAAAAGATTTAAAACCGCTCCAACTTTTCTGACCTCTCGGCTAGGTAAATGCCCTGTTTTGTTCTCGGTCGCTTTCGATTAAGTTAGATATGGAATTTCTGGCGTTTGAGTGGATACGAATTAGACGGAAATGAAATATTTCTGCCGGGATCTGGGACAGTTGAAGTGCAGTATGGGTAGAATGGTATGCTTATCACGTGGGAAAGCATTCTAGGCCGACATCTCGTCTAGCCGACGTTATTTTTTATTTATTTATTATTTGATTTAATCATTAAGTGATCATGACAGATCGAGATGCGCGAGGGATATAGCTTGTTTTAGTTATTTTTCGTTTGTTTTCAAATAATTATTTCGAATTTACCGTGCTTTATTGGAATACAAGCTTAGTAAATGTGGGCAAAGACCTGCGAGCCGTGTAGCCTTCGTAGGATGGGCTTTTCAGAGCATGAGCCATGGATCCTACCCAGATTTCCTGTCGAGTTTTTTCCCTACTAGGGTTTTTTTCTGGCAGGTTTTTTCTGGCCTCCGTTCTGACAGAATTCTTTTTGGACTGTCGCTCAGCTCTGTTCTATTTTATCTACCACACATTTGAATGTAATAGAAGTTGTAGTATAACGTATTGTTATTTCTGCGGTGTTCGGCCGAAACGCCAAAATAAACCTAATGGTTCTTCCGATTCATGTTGTACTGCGTGGTGGATCTGAAATATATGAGTTTTTGATGGTCGTAATGTATTCAGCTCAGCTCTTTAAACTTTAACTTTAAACTTTAATAGTTCAACATATTTCAATGTGTTACATAGTTTTGAGCGACTGCATTGGTTAGGGTATGACTTCCCTATTTTTTCCCATTAGGTTTTTTGGCGTTTAAGCGTCAGGCGGCGCACACTTACCAGAAGCACTTCCGGCTAGTTTTAGTCTGGTGACTTTATTCCGATTCATTCTTTATGTTTTATTTATTAATATATTGACGATATGTGGTATTCGGACGGTAAACACTCAAGCGGATTGTCCGAGTTGCACCCCTATTCCCATCCAGGTCTTAATGTTTCCCGTCTTACAGGTAGTTGATCCTTTTAGGAAAGGGTTATACCAGAGCTGGCAGTATCCTGTGGTCGACTCGCTAGAAGTGAGTCCTCGTTTAATCCCTCTAGGGTTTTAATATGCTGTGATAATACCTTGTAGTTTTGTTACATTATACCGGCAGAATGATATGAAATTGATAAGGCGTGTCCCTACCGGAGTAGCTTACCAGTCGGCTTGACCACTCCAGATTCGGCGTGATTTGTGGATGGACGAGTAGAGGGCAGAGAGAAACTTAATCTTCACTTCCCTGGTAAGTTACTGGCTACCTCAGTACTAGTGAATGAGGGCCTTTAAAACAAACTTTGTATCTGCTTGCTGGATACTCCTCTGTATCTTGTCAAAAACAAGCTTCCACGCGTTAGTTATAGAGCTAGAAATAGTTATAGTCAAATTCTACCTGCAAATACTAGTAAAAGATGTTGTTGAAGTTAGAAGTTGGACGAGAAAAAATCATTTCTCCCAATAAGTATATGTGTGTTAATTGCTGGGACAAAAACTTTGATATCTTAAAGCCGCCTTATAGCTTTCTTTTATTAATTGGAGAATAAAACGCCGCTATACAGCCATGATAGTTGCCCATTGAGCTAATAGCAATAATAATGATGATGATGATGATAATGACGATGACGATGACGATGAAGATGAAGATAACGATGATGATGATGATGATGATGATGATGATAGTGATAGTCATATTGATAATGATAATAATTAGGGAGCTTAAGATCCGACGACGGCGACGGCAACGAGAACGGCAAAAAGCAAAAGGTGTAGATTAAATTAACAAAACAATAACTTTGCACGTGCATCACGCTTTTTTGTACATTTCTTTGCCGTCGTTGCACGACTACGACATAAAAGTGCCTAATTTCTCGTTTTGTCGAGGACGGGAACAGAAGACAACAACTTTCCTTTTCTTTTCCTGAACTTTGATACAGTCGTTTAGCATTCAACTCCAAAAAAATTTGCCACCATTTGACGAACTAAACGGGATAGAATAAGCGTCATACAGTTTAAAGCAGCCAGCATTCACTTTTTAAGTGACGTTTTGGCAGCCTTAGTCGGATCTTTAGCTCCCTTATCAGAAATGCATGAACATGTTCTTCATCACGTTGACTTGAAGTCAGTGTCTACAATAACCTTATACCTTGGTGACATTGACCCCCATAAGAACCGAGTATTGTACGTGATACTGTGTATGCTGGATTTTAACACTGGTCGACGAACGTAGACGTTTTGAAAGGAAAAACGGAATAGCTTAAAAGTAGTCTACGTACGAGCAGGCGCAAATGGGGGGAGTGAAAGAGGGCCAGGCTACTCAAGAGTTACACTTAAACGTTATTCGGAAAATGGAGAAGCTAACCGCTTCATTGTTTGCTCAACTGTATTAATGTTGAGTTGGTGGACATTTGAGGAAATAACGGTTTCTCTGCCAATGTTAGGATTGTTCTGTGGACAACTGATGTGATTCGCCTTCATTTGTGGGCTAAGTCACTCGAAAAAGGTTATAGATTCAACGTTGATTAAGAATGAATAAAAAGAGAAATGTAACAAGCGCTTGGAAGGCACTAAAACGTGAAGGATAATAGATGGTAACCAGGAACACGAAGCAGGCGTGCATTCAGCCTAAGTACTTTGTTTTTTTTTTCCTCTTTTTTTCTTTACACAAAGTAAGTTTGCCGGAAACAGGCTCTCTGATTGCGGGCACCGGGTTTGAGGGTGTGACCATTCTTTAGAAATTACTATCCTCGAGGTAAATTCTTTGTTGCAGCAAATGCTACTTAAAGAGCCTCGTTAGGGGTAGAAATGCATAACTGCACCTTCAAACCTCTGCAGAAGGAACAAGGGAAGTATTTCTTAGCTGTGCCATGGCAAACAATTAGGACCCCGAACCAAAAGTGGAATTTAGTGACAACAAACCTTTAGATTCGAAGGGGTCTTCTCGTTAAGTGGAAAGTGCCTGTCCTCACTGGAATCCTTACCGCCATTCTGCTACTGGGTGCAGTTGTTTCTATTTCAGTGTATTTCTCGCTTAAGAGGGCAGTCCCATCTCGATTGGCAGACGTTAATCTAGAAGAAGGAGAGACTCTGACCTACCGAATAAGGCAGGATATAAAGATACAAGGAGGCGATACTCATAAGGGTGTGTTGATATTTAAACGCTTTTACATATATGTTTTCTCTAAACTAAGGAATACGGTATTTTGAAGGAATCTATAGTTTTGATGCCTTAAAATTCATGTATACTAATCGTTAAATAGAAGCTTCCTTTAATTGATTTGTATAGATTGTTTAATTTTCTCGTTTTTAGTCTTTCTCTGTTTTTGACACTCACTAATCATTTTCTGAAATCGTGAAAGTTTTGAAGAGTACTGATCTTGAAAATAATTATAACTAGATGACAATTTGTATTTGTGAAACTAGCTCCTTTACTTTGTTTGCATGTATCAGTAATTGACATGATACATCGTTTTCTGGCAGGTAATATTTCGTTTTTAATCCAGCCGACTCTTCTGTTATAAAATCTACCACTTGTTTCTCAGTTTGTTATCGTATCTACTCACGTAAACAAGAGAAATTTTATCCTAGAGGTTCTTTGATTCTTAGGACCTCCTACCTCAAGACGAGGGGAATTTTTTAGAGAGAGAAGGGCTTAATTAGTAACTTTACTTAGAGCCAAATATGCGAGGGATAATTCGACTAGTATTCTGAACTGTCGCCCAGCTTCAATGAATACGGTATACACTATGCATTCTTTTTTGGAAAACCTCCTGTAAATATCTAAAACGGAGACTGCAGGGGCTTGCAAGTACAACAAGAGCCACTAGAAGAACAATGTTACTTTTTAACCATTTGTGCATAATTCTTATTTTTGCCCTGATTTTTTTTTCTTTTTAATTTAGGGTTTTGCTTTGTTTGTTTACCTTATTTTTTTTAAGGAAGAGAGCTATCAGAGACGGGTGCTTACCAGCAGGGGGGAGGGGGTGGGGGCTTAGAACGTTTATGGAATGTAGTCGTGATTTAGTGACCAGTCAAGGAGCTATACATGTTTTGAGTGATGTTTTTTCGTGCTTGTGAAGGGGCAAAGTTAGACCAAAACGAACAAGGGTAGTTTAGAATTTACGATAAACATGTGGGATTGACAATAAGAAACTTGAAACTGATGTTTTGTCTAAATTTTTAGAGGTGTCAGGACTTGCTGCTAACTAAACACATTCTCAACTGTTTCTCATATTTTATTGAACTTAACAGGTACTATCCATGCCATTGTTGCAATACGAGTTCTAAATAAAACATCAGACGAGTATTGGTTTGCTGTGAAAGTAAATTTCTCTTATGTTCCTGGAAATGTGGATCTACGAGAAGAGAAAACAATGATGACGGATTATTTCGTTGTGCGTCTCGAAACTTCCAGAAGGTATTCAACTAAATCAGTTCTTTCTTTTAATTCTTATGTTAAGCTTTATATCAAAAGAATTCATTTTCGTTGATCAAGACCAATTTATAAGCTGTCAGTAATTTCCTCGTCTCTGCAAAATATACAAATATATAACTACGTAATAATTGCATGATTCTCCCAACACCCTCTCGTGTATATATCAGGCTATAAAAACCGGAAAAACGTCTTTTGTAGCTCAAAAAGTTGAGCTTTTCAGAATGACAGAGTTGAAATAGGGTCTTAGCTTTATAACCATAACGTTTTGAACATTTTTTCCAAAAGCACTCTCGATAGGCAAAATACTGTATCACAATTTTTTTGGTTCTCCCTAGATTGCAGACTCAACCTGCAAATAACGGGAGCAAAGAATCTTTTGAACTTTACGGAAACAGGACAACAAACAAGGAATTCATTAGTTTCATATACGGAATCCTTGATCAGCTTCTTCCAACCTTGCAAAGAGATCTTTACGAGGAAGTAGATAGAGAAAAATTTGGTTCCGTGGTACCATTGAGCCCTGAGAAGTCTTCGCGGATTCCAGGAGCTGTAAATATGCACAGGGTGGCACAGATATCGGACAAGGACGCCGTTTTCATCAACAATCGTTTTAATCGTTCAGATCCTATCAACTTTACATCAGATATAGACATGGACATGACTTATAATGATTTGGCCGCCATAAACAAAAGCAATGGAATGGTAACAGAGAGCCACGCCTTCTTGTCTGAGCAACTGAAGTTTGGAGAGCCTATTCGAACCAAAAGTGGACCAAATGTTACGATGCTGAACGTGTCAGTATCCAGTCACGTGACTCGTATAGAGACCCATGCCTCTCACCTGACAGAGGCTGAAGCCGCTTATATCAGAATCCAATCATTTGTAAAGCTGGTTCCATCGGAGTCCATAAGTTCGATCACGCCTTCTAATTCGAGTCTCGAGTCATCCACCAATTCACCTTACACCCAGATCATTTCCACACCCACCTCAAGTCCGAAGAACAAAAGCCTTATTAGACAAAAGAGGAGTTTATCAGAGAAATACGAGAAGGGAATCCACCTGTTCCAGAAGGAGGTTATCGGAATTGACATATCGGGTGAGGCCAAAGTTTGGGCAGAAGCCAACCTTAACCAGGGTATCACCGTTGGAGCGGGGATCATCGTAAAATTTGGAGGTGTGGCTGTGGAAGTGTTTAAGCGCACATATGAATGGAGAGACGAAACTAGAGCAGGAGACCCACTAACGTTCTCACGACCTTTTTCAATTGTAAGTATACCAGTACTTTATTTTAATACAGACAGGGTTATCTGTGGAATCTTTTGCACAAGAGCAGCTACTCCCACAATACTCATCTCTACCCAGGAGTATAAATGGGTACAGGTTCATTTCGGAAAGTTAAACCGACAAACTGCTGGGGTATAACTACATCTTTTCGTGTCTACAGGGGTGGATCTAGAAAATTTAGAAATGACAAAAGTAACTGAAAAAGTTGGTGCGATTTCAAATCACTTGAAAACAAAACGTCCACTTAAACAAGATTCTATAAAAAAGTGGAGAAAGGGGGCGCAGCCTCAGTCTGCTAGATCCGCACATGGTTAAAAGAACCAAGTTAAGCCCCACTGGCATTAATTATATTTCCAAGGCCTGTATGGGGATACAAAGCTGTTTCATATCTATCACATGATTTTTTTTAATCTTTTCATCATTATTCATCATATAACTGACGACTACATTTAGTTCGATAGAAACGTCACCTTTATATAACGTTTGTTGAAGTAAACAAGGAACCTGCCTTTTGCCTGTGCACAAAAAGGCAAACAAACAACCTTTCGACGCCGGTTTTAAGTTCTTTAGGGAAGGATAAATGTGACAATGTTCGTTTTTGTTTGATTTTAAGACCAGGGAAACTATTGTATACGGCGTAACACTTGGTGTGGAATTCGGCCTGACGCTTGAAGCTTCGTTAGACTTTACCTTTTCTAAGAGTGGCTCAATACTCATTTTTAAGGTATGTGAAATGGTAAATTGAAAGTGTAATTGAATACCTGAGTACCTGCTAATAGCCGAAGCTAATTGAATGAACTTGACTTGATGACTTGATGACTGACCCAACCCTTCCCTAAGACCAGTCGTTTCTGAGAGAATCTCGCAAGAATAGATGCAACTTTCCGTCTGCGCCTTCGTTGCGTGTCCCTGTGACCAGCTCCAGTATCTTTCGTGCTTCTAACTAGCCTGTGCCAGGCTCTGGGTCAGTGCAGACAAGCAAAAAAAGCGAGCGAGTAGCGAAAAAAGTGAGCGAAAAACGGAATGAAGAGTTATATGGGACAGCTGCGAAAAATCTTTCACCCACCACTACCCATTTTCAGAAAAACCGTTTCGAACCATTTCTTGTGTCAGAATGTCAAGTATGTATTTAAACGAGAAGTCAGGAGGGAGTGTAAGAATTTGAGATACTGGGAATACGAGACTCACGCTTCCAGCTTGTAAATATAGATTGCTTTCTTCAAGGTCTTAATATTATCAATGAGTGAAATTGGACCTAAACTTCCCTCAAGTTCTGTGACTTTTGCATACCTTACAACTGACTCATTGTAGTACCATCAGTACGTGACCTTGGTTTGTAGTAATGAAATGCTTTTCTCTTAGATGAAGTCTGTTGGGGAGGTTAAGGCTGCCATCACTGGATTTGCTGGTGTCGGGCCTGTTTATGCGGGAGCGAGAGGATCGGGAACCATCCTCAAACTCACTTTACCAGTTACACTAACAGCTGCAGAAGGAGTTCTAAGGGACGCGTCGGCCAGTCATTCACTGGATGGAGTGTGCATCCAATTTTGTCCTCATCTCACTGCTTTAAAGTTAAGTGCTAAGTCTATTTATGGTGAATTTACGTGCCGATGGCCAATTTGGTATTATGGGTGCTCTTGGTCAGGCTGGAGGGATTACAAAACGTTTTTTGAGTCTGATGGTTTCGAAAAAGGATTAGGCCTATACTTGAAGTGCTTTCCCTAGCCACTGAGCTGTATAAGTGATTCAAGTTGTAAAGACTTGTTCCCTTAACTTAGAAATAATGGCATGCAGGCTGCTCTTATAAAAAAAACTTATCAAAAGACCCTTAAAACTGGTAAAAAAAAATCTTGGTTGATTTTTCGCAGTTCGACTGGTTACCTTTGTTTAGTAATAAATACAGTCGACTCTCTCTAAACGGACACCTCTGTAAAAGGGACACTTTAACTGGGGAGTTGGTCCCTGCCTTTCTTTACGCCCTTTATTTGACTCTCTATAAGACGGACATCTCTCTAAGACGGACACTTAGTACCTGAACCGATCCCAAAGGTTTCTGTCTTAGAGAGAGTTGACTGTAGATATACTTGGCTTTGATGTACAGTCAACTCTGTCTAAGAAGGACACTTTTGGGAACGGTAGTAAGTGTCCATCTTATAGAGAGTCAAATAAAGTGAGTAAATAAAAACAGGGACCCACTCTGAGTGTCTGTTTTACATAGGTGTCCGTTAAGAGAGATTCGAATGTATACTACAAAACAAATATATTAGTTTACCGTCTGTCTGGCTTCTCAAAGATATGGCCTGATTACATGACCTTGTTTGCCGCATGGCCTAGATCCCGGCACTTCAATCAAACTCAACAAAACTCATTTTTGTCTTTACATGACAAAACGGCCAAGACCCTCAGTTGGGGCCATCCCGAATCATGTAGTCAGGCCCAGAGATCACATCGAATCACAGATGACGTTAAAATGTGCCATCAGTGTGTATCTGACAATTATTACGGCTTTTCGTTACGCTCATTTCTTGTAGGGCAATTTTTTTTTAACTCTGTGATTATCACTAGCTACTAACTTGAAACACCTCAGTTATATCTTTCTCAAAAGAGACTTAGGTGATTGAGAGGTGCATATAACAAGTCTAGATCTCTGCTACACAGCAAACTCGTTCCCAGGGTTGCCTCGAGTAGGAGAGAGCCCTGGGAGCGAAGGTTGGCTACGCAGGCCACCAAAATGTCTAAAATGAGTACGGTCAATGAGTTCCCTTAAATGAAAATCCCAGCTTTTTTTCTGAGAGAGTTTGTGTGGTGTGTAAGTTCTTTTTATGTGATACTTTTTTTTAAATTGTTAGTCCCTGAAGCAAACTTGTAGTGAACATGTTTTACGGAAACTAAAAGGGTCGTTTTTACAATTGACATAAATCAAGGACCATCAAACTGATCAATATTTCTGAGGAATTATACCTTCGGTTGTCTTTTTAGAGCTAGTAGTTGGGAAAACGCAGTTCATGCAAATCACGAATCACGCATCACTGGCGATTCACGAAAACAAGAGCTCTCCTCGCCTTGGGAAAAGTCCGAAAATTATGACAGAAGGGACCGTGGGGGGGAGGGCTTCCTGATTTGGCCTAAACGGGTGTGTGCCGCGGAACAATGTATGGTTTTGAGGGTCTTTTTAAAATCTTAGAAACCCCATACAATTTCACTATTTAGCGTCTTGAACACTCGGTGTCTTTTCAGTTGGATCGGAAGCTTACAAAAGACTGGGAAACTTGTTGAGGTGTGGTCTGCATTTATTGTGGTGACAGCATTTTTTTCAGTTCCAAAAAGTCTAAAACTGCGATTTAAATTGGAAAATTAATTAACTCTCTGGAAGAAAGGAAACGAATCAGGTTTATAAAACAAGGTTTCTTGGGTAAGGGTAAAGAAATGAACGATTTTTGTGAGGGTCAGGGTTTGAAGGCCTCTGTGGCACACCTCTGCTCAAATGTTTCTTAAGTACTCCCCCGGGAGTAGGGACAATTTACTTCAGGGATAAGTGTGTGCATTAGTTTATTTAACCATAATAGTCATAGTAACCATTGTGTGAGACTTTGCCTTTATTACATATACGGAATAAAGTTGTAAACTGTGAGCAGTCTCTTGTTTTTAAAAGCTTCGACTTCGTCTCGGGTTTGTATAACTGCCTCGAATTCTCCCAACACCTTCTTGTGACTTCTGTGTTTATATTAGGGACCGGTCATTATTTATCGCCAGGGGCGGGGGGATTTGGGACTAAACAAGGTGAAATTTAGCCGATCCCCCCTTTGAATGTTACTTAACTGAAGTGATCCCCCCTAATAACTTTTGATGACTTTCGCGATCCCCCAACCAAGGTATATTTTGGGAAATCGCAAGTCTGGAAGTGGTGAATTGCTTAATGAGATTGTCGTTACTGAAGGAAATCTGGGGACTAGTTCCTAGTCTCAAGACGCCAAAACTCTCACCCGCGCAAAAAACTATTCCGGCAGTTACACAAGATGGAATGCATTTTGCATCTTTTTGACTGATTTTGTTCTTAACTCGGTGACAGAGCCCTATAGACCTTTCTCATCTCCTGCGATAGAACTGAAGAAAAAAATGCAAACAGATCCTCAAAGAGAGAAAGGGAATCCAAGTAAGGCTAATTGTTTGTGTGCGATAATTCAATTTACTTAAAACACAGAACTTCGTGCAGTAAACAAAGGAAACACTTCGTAATCCCCAAATTCTCCATTTTTTATGGAGAGCGATGACTTCTTTTGTTTTATAATGATTTGGGACATTTAAATAATCTTTCTCTTGCCTCTCGTTGCGTAAGCACGAGCATAATAACAGCCAATCAGGAAACGTGTTTCTCATAATCACGAAGTTGCTTTGTGGCGCAATATTCAAATTTAAAATTCTCTTACAATCATTTCGTTCTGAAAGAAGATGCGAAAGTACACTGCGTATCAAACCATTTTGGATTCTAGAGCAATGTATCTCTTTCCCAAACAAGTTCATCGGACCATCTGTGTCAACCTCACTGCAAAATGTGAACAAAAAAGCCGTTACTTTCTCTGTTTATTCGACGAGACAGATTATTGTAGAGATAGCTGTAACCGAGTAAAAGGTAGGTAGAGTTATTCGCTTTTGAATTTTTTTGTACGTAGTAAACGGTTGCGGTTCTCATAGCTTCTTATCGAGACTTAATGCTCGATAAGGTGGATTCATTCTTATCAGTGTTCAGCGTTGAGACTTATTGCGAATCGGATTGTTAGTTATATAGAGAAAGTACAAGCGAATTCTTTTAAAAAATATGGCCAAATCAAGATGAGAATTGTATTCTTGGCCGACTGTTTAGGGAGGCGAATTTTGATCCACGTTCTGTTTAACCTCGTAGTAGCAAATACAGGGCTCTATCAGCGACGACGGCGATAGCAACGAGAACTTCTAAAGCAATAGATTAGGTTTAATAAGCAAAAGAACAACTCTACACGTGCAGTAACATTTTTCTCCACATTTTTTTTCGTCACTGCACGACCTCGATGTGAAATTCTATTGTGCGTCGATTTACGTTGGACGACGAATTTTCCTTTCTCCTACTTAACTTATCGATCTCCAGGATTTCAATTCCAGGGAAATTCAGTTATATTTTTACATTTTAACCCAGCTGGAATGATCCTGACCAAGCGTCACCGAAACAGTCCTTAGAGCAACCTCGTTCCAGTGGATGCCCAGTTCCTCTCCTACTCGGCCCCCGAGTACCATGGGAACGAGGTTGTCCCAAGATGCAATTCGAAACAAAACAGTACACTGTTACAGGGAGTTCCAGGCGCATCTCAAATGACCATTTAAGGACTGAATGCATCGGAGCGGGGAGGTTCATTTCACTCCCAACCGAAATTTTCGGAAACCTTTGCTGAATGTCATTATCTTTAATATTGCACACCTATTTCTTTGAATATGAAAAAAAGGGTTAAATTAATCAGTGTAATATTTTAAAAGGAATACAAATCATGGGGCAGTTTTTCAAAGGAACGGGAAAAAAGTTTCAAAAACTCAGAACTATAGCGACCAAATTTAAATGTAAAATCAATTCTTGTCTCACCATTAAACAAACTAGAAATTATCGTAGCAACAAAAATCGACTATTATTGTAAGGTTAATTGATTGTAGCAATTATAATTCCTCTGGATTTTTGAAGAAGTACTAAAACAACTGTTATTAAGGCCTTTTACATTTATAATACATTTGCCGACGCCACTACTGGTTTCCCTGCGAAGAACAAGCGCAGAAATTCCATACTGATGACGTGTCACAACCCAGATCTGGGTAGTGCTTCTGATTGGTTGTGCTTCAACTAATCAGAATCACTATCCAGACCTGCCCAGTGACACGTGATCAGTATGGAATTTCTGCGCTTGTTCCTCAGACGTCACATTTCGCGGGGAAACCAGTAGTGGTGTCGCGAAATTTTGGCTGTTTTCTCAGGCTACCATTAAACCGGCACGCGCATGCTTAGTACAGTGTACTGACACTTTTGCAACGATCATCATGTGAGCCGAACCCAACCGAAATTGTGTTTCCTTACTACAATCAACCCCGCTAATACGGACACTGATGGGGCCATAAAAAGTGCCCGTAGTAAGGGGGTGTCGCGTATTAAGCTGGTTGAATCAGAGAAAATGTAAGGGATTTTTTTCCCCAGGGATCCCAAGGGACAAAGAAAACTGTCTGTAATAATGAAGTGTCCGTTAAGCGAGGTTTGACTGTATTTTTGTTACCAAGCTTCCATTTATACGGATTAAAATGTGAAATCGCCGCAAGGAAATGAGGAAAAATATTCCGATCAAAAAAAGCGATAAAATGTTAAAAAGATTCTTGTCAAGGCAAAAATCATAAACATTCAGATCTATTAGATTCTGTTTCATATTTGCACTAAGTTCATTTGTAATCGTTGCAAATTGATCTACAATTTAAGTTTATTTTGCCTCCATCTGTTTAAATACTTTTACAGTACCACTACTGTAATCGGGACCACTTAGACAAAGTTGACCAATCGGATTACAGGAAAATAACAATACATTCCGAGAAAGTTGCTCGTGGGCCAATCAGCAGCTCGTAAAAAACTATTAGTTACTCGAAGCTTAAAATTTAATATTGATAGCAGACATTTTTCGGGAAAGCAAAATGTTTCACCAGACAATGTATTCGAAACTTTGCATACAACACCCAGGAGACATATTTCTTTGACATAAGCTGTTATTTTGTCATCTACCAGCTTATTTCTTGCCGCGCTTTTCAATAACATGCGACCGCAAGTCACTAACACTAACGGACCCCTCTTTAGTGGGTTCAAAAGGTCACGTCTGTAGGTTGTATTTAGTTGATTTCGATCCATGTTGTTTATTTTGTTTCTTGGTAATTATGATTGACAACTAACTTTCTCGGAATGTCTTGTTATTTTCCTGTAATCCGATTGGTCAACTTTGTCTAGGTGGCCCCGGTTGTAATAGTAGCGCTGTAATATAATATGTGACACCAGCCTGTAAGTAAGACCAATGTCCAAACACTGTTTCGTCTTCTAAGCCGGAGCCATTCTTTATGTCGCCACGCAATTCTCTCCCCTCTCTCCCACCCCACTAAGAATTGCTGCATGCAAACTAAACGGTATTTTTTCAAACACTCTTGAAGATATTTGTTTCAACAACTGGGCGATTACTCCCGCGCTGATTGGTTGAGAGCTATGGTCTGCCAGAGTATAGACCAAGGAAATGACGCGATGATGGCGCAAAGTGTTTTTCTCTTTCTCTAACGCTCTATTTTGCAAGAAACGTCGCCGGGAAAAGACCATAAAAGTGAGGTCAAAATGTTCAGAACTTGCAGTGAAACCATTCGCCTTCAGCTCATGGTTTCACTTGAGTTTTCAACATTATGACGTCCTCTCTCTAGTCTAGCCAAGGAAGATTTTTGTTTAATTTTGTTAAACAGCAAATGTGATAGTATCAATTATCTTGTCCAACTGGGATGTGACGCTAGAATTACCTTTCACTTTATTCCATTCCCAGACTGCGGAAGAAACACCTCCACCCATAGCTGTCCAATCGGCACCCTGAGAAGAGGCGGCGCAAGGTAAATACAATATGTGTAGGAATGGGAGGGAGAAGTACTTTTATTTTGATTGTAAACCATCTGTACTCCTTCCCACATTAAAATTAAAAAATTAAATTAAATTAAATTAATTTTATTTAAGCTCGATAGCGTGAGGAGTGGTTGCCCAATCTCCCGAGCCCGGGGCTCATGTATTAAATGCTCGAGCATTCCGGATCGAATTGGAATTTAGAAATGCTGGTTTTTGCGGAGAGGAGTTAGTAGACAACATGTTCATGGATTAGAGGGCAGATTCAACAGCCTGCGCCCCCCCCCCACATTCCCACACCAACCCCACTGCAGAGCTGGGTAACAAGTTGTAGTCGAAACATACTTTAAAATGTTGGTGATGATACACTATTGTCTTTTTTTAACCCTCTCCCTCACACCATTGCAATATCCCATTGCCCATATGGAAGAAGGCAGTGGGTAACATATTCCCAAGGGATGGGAGGGAAGCCATAACCACGGGCCTCCTCCTCACTCACACTAGTCAAACAACCTCTACCCAGTGAGGAGGCACCAAGAAGTATACTATCCAGAAAATACTCAATAATGGAGGTAGGATACTCGTTAGTATCGTTTTAAGAGTAGAAAACGATACAATTTAATAGGCTGATTTATCAACAGGATGGGAACGTCAGTTGATGACGGGAAAGCGCGCGTAAAGGACTAAACACGACCTCCGGAAATACTGATTAAAAATGTATAAAGATGTATCTTGTTGAAGTTGGACGGAAAAAAATCATTCCTCCCATAGATTAGTGTGTCTCATTTTGTGTTGTTTTTTAAATACAGTGGTTGTACGTAGTGGTAAGTAATTAACAATTATTCCACGAGTGCGCGTTGGATATAAGATGGTAGTAGCCAAAGAGGCGCGTTAGACGCTAATGGTATAATGGCTCATATACCAAAACGGTTAAGCCAATCAGAGCTCTAGAATTGCATTATTCAATGATTCAAGTTTTAATAATAGAGATTATCGTATTTCCATTGTTTTAGCGTTTTCATGTGGACGATTCAAATACGCAACGTATGGACGCGTAATTTTTGAAGACGGAGAAGAAAGTCTCTGGTTTCAAAAATATACGGATACGTATGGACAGAATCTAAGTTGAATTGCTGACACCTATATATATAGGTGTAACCGCCACCTTTAGGTAAGTGGTCAAAATAACCTTAGAGAGCACTCATCTTTACCACTGCATTAAAAGACTAGTGGTGTCGTTGTGTATTCACAACCTCCTATATCACAATTATTCTTGAAGCTTTGGAATTATGAATGGTTCTTTTATTTCCCAAGAAATAGGCAAATTTTCTAACTAAAGAAAAATTTAATAGGAAAGTTTGCCTGAGTCAATCACATTTGGGAATTGAGAAATGCTGAGATTGTGTTATACCGTGTGTCTGTTCATTTATACATCACAAATGACACGTCGAGTGTGTCCCCTTTTTCTTGCTTTTTTTCCCCTTCTGTTTAGTTTTTCTTCGTTTCTTTTCGTTCTTCGTCAACCGATAAACTTATGCTCACAGATCTGGATTATTATTTAAAATAGGTAGACGGACTAATCAACTGGGTTGATGATCGCATGTATTTATTTAACACTGTTTTTTGATAATAACTCCTACTCAACTAATTGGTATTCATTAACGTTTGATACAGACCTCTACTGATTGTTTCATTTTACAAGTGCTATAAAATATTCGCTATCCGATCTGCATGGTGTAAACCCCCTGCAGATTTCCCGCTCATCAGTTCCTGAGGTACGTAGCTTCCGGTAGTTGTCTTCACTTTGTCTCTATGAGATACATCGCAAAGCAACACCATCGTTTCCCACCCCATCTTCTTCTCTTTACGCCTCTTCCTGGCACTGCCCACACCATTAAAATTCTCAAGAGATCTAGTCTGACTGGATCAGTGGACAAATGTTTAGAATCAGGTATTAATCAGTATACCTAGGATTCGCAATCGCCTTACAAAGATAAAGGTAGCTTGGTCGAGCCAATGGTATGACTTGCGAGAATTAATTTGGCACCGAAGAATTACAGAGTTTGGACCTACAGTTATCAGCACAGTCCTGTCTGCGCAGGACTGTCTGGGCACTTAAACCAAACCAGCCAATATAAAAAAATATAACATAATTTCAAAATACTGAATTTTTTCCGCAAAGGTGTATGGCGTAGCGCGGTAAAACGTGCTTATAAGACATGTTAAGACCTTGTGGGAAAACTGAGCCCATCCCAATTCTTTAGGTTTATGTGAAGATTAAGCGAAAAAAAAACTGACGGTACCGTTCCAACTTCATTTAAGTGCCTTGACCAATGGACCGCTTTTATACTGTGACAGTGACAACCTACTCGCTTGAGATTGAGATTATTTTGAGATTCAGGTTCAGTTTATTGGCAGATTCAGCTGGAGAGAGATGAAACTGCCATCAAACTTACTAAATTTTCTCCACAGTGTGTTCATAGGCTAGACTTGATGATATTCTCTGCCTCATTAGATGTTTCACTAAGAGTTTCCAGTCTGTAACGGTGGCATGTTCTGTTTTAGCATGATAACCTATGATGCTATAAGGGTCATTCGAGAAAATGTAAAGAAATTAAAAGTATCAAAATTAAATTGCAATACCATGGACTGTTCGACTGTGCTCTAAAAGACTATGTCTGCACTGTACCGGATACTCCGGCCTGGTATAAACAGAAACTGGAACAAGCTTAATCGAGAATCGATCCCCGGGTAGTTAGCCGAGAGAGTCTGGTGCACTAGATCCCAATCCTCACTCCTGATGCACTCCTGTTTCTGTGTCTTCACTGCGACCTTCATGTACGGTTTTGTGAGCTTATTTTAACCTATGGATAAGCAGCTTCAATGTACCGCAACTTGTGGGTCATTCTTATCCTTGGCTCAGATTTTGTTTTCTTTCTTTCTGAGTCGAGTATGCTATAGCGCTCGAAGAGGTTGGACGTGCCTCCAGCAGCTCCACAAGTTTTCCAATAATTAGTTAACTCCGAATGCAAGTTAACAAGTTTATCTACTGTAAATACAGTAAATATTTTAAAATAATAAAATTGTAACCCTTTGATATGACTGTTCCGCCTAGATTAGCAAATGCTACTTCCGGATCAGTCTCTTTGTGTTTTGTGGTTGCAAGTATTTTACTAATAAAGTTGAAGTTGTTTGGTAATGCACCATAATGAGTTTGAAACAAAGGAAAACTAAATTTTGAACCGACGAATGACTATAATTGGTGGAACGAAATATCGCTAGCCAATAGAGTTTTATTTCCGCCTTGATGAACTCCTCAATTGAAAACACTTTGGATGAATTAGCACATCATAGCCAGTGCGAAGTATCTCTAAATGCATTGTTACCTCCCTACATCCTTTAATATTAGCCATTTTCTTTGATAAGAAACACGTGGCATTGGCAGACAATATTAGTGTGTCAGTATAACATGACGACGGACTCCAAAATAGATCACAGAAACTCTATGTACTATTGCGGGTGAAGCGGATGAAAATGATTTTTTAAACGTGACAAGTTTACTCGTTTAGAATGTCAGGTTATTCACTTATGACCGTCAATATGAACGGGCATACAAACGCACAGGAAAGAAGGAAACTGTTGTCGGAAATAATAAGAAGAGAAGGCAAAAAGTCGTCTTTGGTATTCTGTCAAGAACTTCCAGGACGTTTCGAAAGGGACGTGGTCCCTGATAACTATGATTTCGTTAGAACTGCCGGGAAACACGCGGCTGTAATGTGGAGTAAACAACATTTTCATAGCAAGAAAGTGGATGCAGGGTTCAAAACAAAGATTTCTGACACACTGCCGCACACAATGAACATAATTGGCGACGACATCTTAAGCGAGATACCTGCGCGAACTGCAGTCGTCATGTTAACGGCTATAAAAGAATCTTGTAATTTTTTAGCGGTCTCGTGGCACGGACCTCACTCAGGCTGGACACTGAAGAGAAAACAAAAAGCTTTGAAAGGCCTTATTCTCTTTTTGTACGAGGTATGCCGTAGGATAGAAGATGTATCCTTAATTATTATAGGAGGAGACTTCAACTTGAACACTCTAGCCGAGAATGGCTTAGAAGAATTGAAAGTGGACTTTCAACCTTATGGGTTGAGTGATCGGGCCACTGAGCGCTGGAAAGACCGTAAGAATTACATCCCCTACAAGGATAATTTTGCCATTACAACTACTTCGACTTCTGAGGATTTCCCTTTTGGAGCGATGAAATTGTGGGCAGTGGAGCCCCTTTCAGCGTTTGTGTATGTGAAAGAGGAGGGAAGTGAGAAGGGAAAAGATATATTGGATCACGACCCTATCGTAGGATTTCTTCAGCTTGGGAAAACTCCGTCAACTGGTAAGTTTCTGGTAGTAGGCGAGAGCTTTACTTGGCTGGTACCAGCCAAGATCTATCTACTGAAAATAATTGTTACTTCTAATTTCTGTGCTCCGTGAGATTTCAAGGGATTTCGCAGGAAGAATAAAAATACTGTAGTTCATATAAATCAAAACAAAACGTATCTGGAACCCGCAATTGTGCTTGTTCATGCAATTATGAAATTTGTTCTCAAACATGGCAAAAAAAATGTCGTAAAAAAGCATACGATTCTCTTAATTTATTTTATATGAATAAAACCCAACTCGTCAGCAATGCTGCCTTCATCAGGGAAAAATGTTTCAATCCGATCCGTTACTTGTCTGAATTATATATTCTCAAAATGCGCCCGTAAAATATGGCTTATTAACAAAATACGCAGAAGTGTAGAATGAATAACGAAAATTGTTTTCAAAACAGTAACAACGTTGTTGTATGATCACGCCTTTAGTCAAACGAGTTTGCGTTAAAAAGTTTGCGACAGTTTGCTTTAGAAAGCGAAGGATTCTTGTAGATTGGAAACCGATAGCAAGAGTTTGTCGAAGCGAGGTGCAATATGGAATTTCCTTGGAAACACGTACATTAGAGGGGTAATGTGTACTTACATTTACAAAGATTGAGATTGATGCGATACAGAAGATAAAAGGGGGATAACATATTTTCAGTGCCGTCTGAATGTTGAAACTAAGTTGCCACTCGGTGTCTGAGAATTGTGCTGTAGGGACAGAACGAAGTTTCCGTAACTTCGAGTTTTATTTGATTCAGTTAAACCTGTGTAAATGTATTTTGCCTGGGAACTAGCTGCTGTCCGTATTATCATGGTGTCTTGACTAGCGAGGTGTCCGCAAGGCTGTGTTTAGCAGTAACTTCTGTTGTTAGAAAACTGAAAAACAAAAGATTTACAGTGCGAATCAAAAAACCGTGAATACTTTGATTTGATTCTGACAGGTCGATTGTGTAGCTGACTATCAATCACAATAAAGTTCACGGAACGCTAGCAAACCTCAGAGCCGCAAAATGATTATCGTTGTTGCTTGCAGCTTAGTTTCTCACGCCTCATTGGGTTTTCCTTGCTGTGACAACAACATTTCACAAAAATTTCAAAAAATTTGACTGGCTTGGTGTTCAACAAATTTCCACCAACAAAAGGAAGCGCACTCTAGTGATAAATGCAACGATTTGAGAAACACTGTGATTAAAAAATTTTGCCCAAAGACTTCTAAATGTAAGGTGATGCGAAGTTACCTCCTCCCACAACAGAAAATAATAATAATAATAATAATAATAATAATAATAATAATAATAATAATGATAATAATAATAATAATATAATTATAGAGTATACGTTTTCAAAAACTGCGTCTCGCAGTGATAACAACTGTTTCGGGGATTAACTCTTCATTTTAGGACTAGAGGTACTTTTCTTCTGCATGCATTGGCAACGACCTATCTTAGCCAACGCAGCACTCGTATCAGTCAGCACATTATATAAAGGTGCATCTGTCTCGTCTCTAAGTGAAATGTGTTTATATTCTTATTTAAAGGTAGTCTCTAATCTCTTTAAACGAGTTTCTTTCTATTCACCATGTTTATTTCTTTACAGTGTTCAATCAGGAGCCAGGAACCTCAAACCTTTTGGAGGCTGCAGTAGGAAACACGCCTTTCCCTACCTCCTTTCAGGCATCCCAGGTATTAACCACACTGACAACATCCTGCCACTTTCTCTCGGCATGGATAGTGTAGTAGGAAACTTGGGGGAACAGTAATCCTCTACAATGAACTCAACTCTTTGTCTCTTTACACTGTTTAATGTAGATAACTTGTTGCTCAACTTTTCACAATCAAGACTAGCAGTATCTCTCTCTGACAGGACCTAGTTACAGCTCCTTTTATCCTGACTGAATCTGAAGGCTGCCAATCTTACTCAAACTTAAAATAATCTTACATCAGTAAAAATTCGATTGGCTATAAGAATTATTAACATATTTTCCTTCGAGGTTGTGTCGTAATAGGAAAATCAGTTAAAACTCCAAAATAATTGTCCAGTCAAAACAAAACAGTCAGAGAGACACAAAAATTACAAGGAATGTTTACATGAATGAAAATCACATATGTACAATATCGTTACTCTAAAATGTACAATTGTCAATTCGCGTACAGTGCTTAAGTTGTCGTTTAAAAGCTTCTTGTTGGAATATCGTACAATGGTAATTAGTCCCGCCTTTTTCCATATATTAACTAAAAGATTGTTTACAAATCCCTAGTCAAAAATCAATTAGCAAGATATTTACATTGTGAAAGCCTTTAAACAAAGATATTACTCGTTACAACTTTTAGCAAGTAAATTGAACTAGGCAGTAACAAAAGCTTGTTTGATGAGTTAACTAAGATAGTCTGTTGGACAAGGTTTTCTTTTGGAATTGCACTGAAGTTTCGATCAAACCACTAAATACGCGAAAGATAGTAAAAATAGGAATGTCCAGGAAAAGACAACTTGGTAAGGTCAAGCTTCTAAAGATTTAGGAAAAACCAATTAAGCCAATTAATGTAAGATAACAAACAAATGTCGTTAAATTTACCAGAACTAATTAGATTAAGAACCTCTGTGTGGGCTCAGTTTTAAAAAAAAGCATCATTTCTTAATTGAATAGCGGCACGTGTGCAAAGAGAAACCGACGTCCAAAAGAGCATCTTTACAGAGAAAGGCAAACCTTATTAACAAAAGACAAATAGCTTTTGTAAGCCCAGTACATTCTAGTAGAACGTATTTATATAACAATTCAAAACACTCTACTTAGTGATAATAATAATTAAAATATTTTAAAATAGCAATGCTTGATGATTCATTAACGTTCCTTATTCGATAAAGGTATTTTCATTTTGGTATTAACTTATACCCAAAAATATCGTTTTACAATAGTAATATAAACAACGGCACTTTGTCCTACATGGACTGGCCTTTGCTCAGTTTCCTTTACATTTCTGCCACGACCACTAAAAGAATAGACCCTATTCACTTGTATGCCTTATTGTTCCAATGATTTGACGATAGTATTTTTCCCCTCAATTTATTTCATAAAATAATAAGTTCATGTACCATAAGTTAGTACGTGGTGGAGGAAAATGTTGTAAGATTAAATCCAATTTATAACATTTACCAGAAACCACGAAGCAGGTTCCTCTCTTAACAAATTGTGAATTTTCTAATTGAAGGGGTCGTCGACCGTCCTTCGTGAAATTCCCCCCCAAATGATAATTCGAGTCTTTATCTACTAATTTCTTTAATTATCAGAGAGGTTTATTTTAAACAATGAAAATTTAATATAAACCTCATCGTTTGATGTTACAGTAATTCACTGCATCTTTTTTTCAGCTATTCATACCGACAACTCAAGCAATAATAATGCCTCCGCCAACTCAAGCAACATATAACGTGCCTTCACAACCTCCAGGAACATATAACGGGCCTCCACCACCTCCAAGAACATGTAACGGGCCTCCACCACGTTTAAGAACATATTACGGGCCTCCACCACCTCTAAGAACATATTACGGGCCTCCAGCACCTTTAAGAACATATTACGGGCCTCCACCACCTCCAAGAACATATTACGGGCCTCCACCACCTCTAAGAACATATTACGGGCCTCCAGCACCTTTAAGAACATATTACGGGCCTCCACCACCTCCAAGAACATATTACGGGCCTCCACCACCTCTAAGAACATATTACGGGCCTCCAGCACCTTTAAGAACATATTATGGGCCTCCACCACCTCCAAGAACATATTACGGCCTCCACCACCTTTAAGAGGCCCTGACTGTAAATATCGAGAATCCGCCGACAGTTGCAAAATTTCATGATTTATTTTATTCTGCCTAAAAGACCCTAAACTATTTTCAAAAATGGAAATAAAAAGTTCCTTCGCGCTTTGCTTTTTCCGAAAAATCCAAAAGTTCAAATTACGCCGAGGCGCCCCCGGCCCCCCGGAAAAACAATGACAAATTCTGCAACTTCGCTAACTCCGTACGCGACAACGCATTGAATTCCCAGTTTGCTATTTTGGATATTGGTAAAAGGAACCTTTGTCTTTTAAAAAATGTAAACTTCATGTAATTTTGTTTCGTCTAAGACAACATAAAAACCCGTTGAAATAACCCACCTTCAATCTTTTGGGTTGAGGTGAAATAAAGGCCAACTTTAAAGGCCTATAAAAATCCTAGTATATAAATTTACGTGTCATATTGTACATCAGGTGAAAGCTTTATCCTTGTAGGTCATTATCTCCAACTGTCGTTTTTGGCCCACAAAAATTAGCGCATCCAGTTTGAAAAGAGTTCGAGCTATTTTGGCCAAAAATTCAATGCAAATTTCGGAGCGGATGTCACGCGAGAGGTCACGGCCAATCCTTCAGTTTGCAAATAATGTATCTTTTTTCTCTTCTGATTGAAAATGTCAGCAATGAGCACCTTTAAGTACTTCAATGACCTTTCTTACATTTAACGATCATACAAGTACGCCACATATCACTTTAAAATAGAATCTAGATTGGCTTGCTATTGCCAGCAGCTAGCGCAACTACACATCAGGTTTTTTTTCTGTATTTTATTTATTCACATACACAGCGAAACTTGTTACAAAGTTGAAGAGAGTAGGGTAGACTTACTGTTGTTACTGTTGTTTTAGAATAACGCGATGTAATCCCAGGAGCTCCCTATCTTACTCAATTTTTCACCGAAAACGTCAGCAAAACAAACTGACAAAACCAATGATCAATGAAGATATGCGTCCTTGCAGTTCTTACTTACCGGAATTCGTCCATACTTTTTAAACTGCTGATATTAATTGACAATTGCTTACGCCTTTTTCTTGCCTGTGGAAGAAAAGAGATGAAAAAAAAGAAACCAATCAAGAGTAAAAGAAAAACCTACGACCTTATTCAGCAAAAAACGTATTCCAAAACGAATGTCACGCAAAAGAGTTGCACATTCTGACAACATTATCGTCTCGTTGTTGTAAGGTTCTTCCTTTTTTTCAACTTTTTCAGCAGGATTTTTCGTTTCGATCATCCTTGTCACTTGAAAAACCGAAATGCCCCGAAATACATATTCATGACAAAAGGATATTGAAGATAAAATTGTTTTGATCACTGACAGGTATTGGGGTTCGCGTAACTGAACTCAGAATAGAGGCGTAGAAAGAAGGTAGCTTAGCGTACTTGGCCGTACCCTTCCCCCAGGGGAAAAAACGAAAAAGGCAGAGGGTACAGCTACACCTTGGCAAAGGGTAGGCTCAAGCGAGCTATTCTCTTCGAGCGGTGAGCGATGCGAGCAAGCAAAGAGCGCTAAACCGGAGCGACCGCAGCCCAGTCATTTCGCGTTTCTCTTTCTGGTGCCCCTCGCCTCTCTCCCCTGCAGAGGCTCGCGCTTGGTATTCCAGTAATAATAGCAATAATTTGAAAAAGAAAAGAAAATGGTTAGAGTGTTTTAGGTTCGTCCAATCGTCTCTCGCGTGCCTTTCTTGCCTCTAGGACACAAACATGCTAATGCGGAGGAGACAGGCGAGTGAGCACCAGAAAGAGACGCTAGATCGCCGGGACGGGGTCGCCCTAGCCTGCCACTTACGCGCTCTGTCTCGGCTCGCGCGCGTTGCTCACCGCTCGAAGAGGATAGCTTGCTCGATGCTATCCAATTGATATTTATTTTTTTTGTATTCTATTGCTTGGAAATGAACATCTGGGGGTGGGTAGAAAACGACCTCATCAGCCCTAAGACCCAAAAACAAAAATCAGCTCGAAACGGCTATCCTGATCGTAAGGAACATCAAGATCTTCAATTATCAATGAATCTGATTAGTTTCTTCGTTTTCTTCAAAGCCCCACCCAAAGTAAAAACGGAAGACCCCCTCAAAATCCCCTTCAAATCGCTGGAAGCTCGCATGAAATGGCACTCTCAACCGAAGCAAAAGCAAAATACAACAAGGTATGCAATTCTGATTAACAAGACGAATAGACACAATTCACATGTTGCCAAGGTCCCTGCCTACATTCCCGTAAAAGGGGGGTGTAACATGTATCTTTGGAGCCTCTATTCTCCCCAATTTTATCACCGTCTATCTTTATGTTAAAAAAGACCGTTTACAATGGCACAAACACAATTTATATGTTGTCACACATATATCAAGTGCTTTTTAGAAGCGGGTGTTCGTTTTCTACTTTCGGTGTTTTTTTTTTTTAATTTTTATTTTTTATTAGAAGACGAAGACCCGCAAAACGTTCGTAGCGGGCGGCGAGGAGAGGAGAAATGGCTGTATTCGCATGGTAAGACCCTGGTTAAATTCATTCAGATTCATTGACAAATGGAGATCTTACACATATCATGCCGTTTTATAGAGCTGAGTCCAAGTGACTTTTACTTTCGGTGAGGTTTTGTAGAAAATCGGAAAGCCTGGTCAAATTCATTGACCAATACCATGACCTTTTTTTTCTTGTACTTCTCAGGCTCAGGTCGAGATAGCCATTTCGAGATGTTTTCAGGACCCGATTTTGAGGAGAGTTACCCGAACATCTGGTCCTTGCTGCCGGCTCCCGCTAAATCCATACTTTTTTTGGTTACGTCACGTGAAGTTATATTATCACGCAAATCAAATTTGACATGTTTGTAATACCGTAAAATTCCGAAAAAAAGCCCCTCCATGTATAAACCCCTCCAAGTATAAGCTCCCCAAACCAGTAACGCAAAAATCCCTCCGTTAAATCACCCCTCCGAATATAAGCGCCCCAGAGGCTTGTACTTGGAAAATTGTTCTCAAAGACACAGTGCGGGCGCGGAAAGTAATGAAGGTGGGAGAGGGAAGAGAAACCGCCAGGAGATTGGGGCGGGAGCAACTTTTTTTAAATTATTTTTCTCGCGGCTTCGCCGCTCGTGCGCCCAGCTCAACAAAACCGCCATGCTATACAGGTTAGGGTTCTAAAGGCTGCTTGCCTACAGGGTGGATACTCGAACCGGAGCAATTGGAAGAAGATTAAATATCCAATAACAGCGTTTTTTGAAATCAAAATACTTTCCAGTTATTTTGCAAAGGACGAATAACAATTAAAAGGTAAATGCCCTGTTTTGTTATCGGTCGCTTTCGATTAACTTTTTCTTATGTCGTTAGATATGGAATTTCCGGCGTTTGAGTGGATACGAATTAGCCGGAAATGAAATATTTCTGCGGGACGGGAGCAGTGGGGACTGGGGCAGTTGAAGTGCAGTGTGGGTAGAATGAAGCGCTATAAAAGGGATGCTTATCACGTGGGAAAGCATTCTGGGCCGACATCTCGTCTAGCCCACGTTATTATTTATTTATTTATTTATTTATTTATCATTTGATTTAATTATTAAGTGACAGATCGAGTTGCGAGAGTGATATAGCTTGTTTTAGTTATTTTTCATTTGTTTTCGAATATTTTTTTCAAGTTTACCGTGCTTTATTGGAATACAAGCTTACTAACTGTGGGCAAAGACCTGTGAGCCGTGTAGCCTTCGTAGGATGGGCTTTTCAGAGCATGAGCCATGGATCCTACCCAGATTTCCTGCCGAGTTTTTTCCTCACTAGGGTTTTTTTTCTGGCAGGTTTTTTCTGGTCTCCGTACAGACAGTATTCTTTGTGAACTGTCGCTCAGCTCTGTTCTATGTTATCTACCACATATTTGAATATAATAGAAGTTGTAGTATAACGTATTGTTATTTCTGCAGTGCTCGGCCGAAACAGCCAAAATAAACCTAATGGTTCTTCCGATTCATGTTGCACTGCGTAGTGGATCTGAAATATATGAGTTTTTGATGGTCGTAATGCATTCAGCTCAGCTCACAAAACTTAACTAGTTTTGTGCGACTGCATTGGTTGGGGTATACCTTCCTTTTTTTTTCCCGTTGGGTTTTTTGGCGTTTAAGTGTCAGGCAGCGCACACTTACAAGAAGGACTTCCGGCTAGTTTTATTCTGGTGACGTTATTCCCGAATCTTTCTTTATGTTTTTTTTTTATTAACATATTGACGATATGTGGTATTCGGACGGTAAACACTCAAGCTGATTGTTCGAGTTGCACCCCCATTCCCATCCACGTCTCAATGTTTCCCGTCTTACAGGTAGTTGATCCTTTTAGGAAAGGGTTATACCAGCGCTGGCAGTATCCTGTGGTCGATTCGCTAGAACCGAGTGCTCGTTTAATCCCTCGAGGGTTTTAATATGCTGTGATAATACCTTGTAGGTTTGTTACATTATACCGGCAGCATGATATGAAATTGATGAGGCTTGTCCCAACCGGTGTAGCTTACGAGTCGGCTTGACCACTCCAGATTCGGCGTGATTTGTGGATGAACGAGTGGAGGGCAGAGAGGAACTTAATCTTCACTTCCCTGGTAAGTTACTCGCTGCCTCAGTACTAGTGAGTGAGGGACTTTAAAACAAACTTAGTATCTGCTTGCAGGATACTCCTCTGTATCTTATCAAAAACAAGTTTCCACGCGTTAGTTATAGAGCTAGAAATAGAAATATTGTTAAATTCTATCTGCAAATACTAATAAAAGATGATGTTGAAGTTAGAAGTTGGTCGAGAAAAAAATCATTCCTCCTAATAAGTGTATGTGTGTTATTTGCTGGGACAAAAAATTCGATATCTTAAATCCGCCTTATAGCTTCCTTTTATTAAATGGAGAATAAAACGCCGCTATACAGCCATGATAGTTGCCCATTGAGCTAATAGCAATAATAATGATGATGGTGACGATGATGATAATGACGATGACGATGAAGATGAAGATAACGATGATGATGATGATGATGATGATGATGATGATTGTGATAGTCATATTGATAATGATAATAATCAGGGAGCTTAAGATCCGACGACAGCGACGGCAACGAGAACGGCAAAAAGCAAAAGGTCTAGATTAAATTAACAAAACAACAACTCTGCACGTGCATCACGCTTTTTTTGTACATTTCTTTGCCGTCGTTGCACGACCACGACATAAAAGTGCCTAATTTCACGTTTTGTCGAGGACGGGAACAGAAGACAACAACTTTCTTTTTCTTTTGCTGAACTTTGATACAGTCGTTTAGAATTCAACTCCAAAAAAATTTGCCGCCATTTGACGAATTAAACGAGATAGAATAAGCGTCATACAGTTTAAGGCAGCCAGCATTCACTTTTTAAGTGACGTTTTCGCAGCCTTCGCCGTAGTCGGATCTTAAGCTCCCTTATGAGAACTGCATGAACATGTTCTTTATCACGTTGACTTGAAGTCAGTGTCTACAATAACCTTATACCTTGATGACATTGACCCCCATACGAACCGAGTATTGTACGTGATACAAGAGAGGATAAAGGTGACAGAGAAGACATCCCCCATACACACCCTATTCCATAGGTAATTCGTCTCGAGTTATTTTTAGAATCGGGATAAAGTTACCTCACACGCTGCGTGCATGTTTCGTCGAGGTTTCGCATGACTACTTCCAACTGTCCACATAATCCTCCATCTCTTCTTCCGAAAGACTCTTGTTCTGTTTATTTGATTTCTTCGGCGCCTTTTTGCTTGATTTGGTGACGGTCGAACTCGAAGGCGCAGTTATCGGTTCTATTTTTAGGCTAGTAGTTGGGAAAACGCAGTTCATGCAAATCAAGAATCACGCATCACTGACGATTCACGAAAAAAAAAGTAGCTCTCCTCGACTTGGGAAAAATCCGAAAATTACCTTTCCCATCCTCACAATGACAGAAGGGACCGTGGGGGGAGGGTTCCCTGATTTGACCTAAACGGGTATGTGCCGCAGAACAATGTGTGGTTTTGAGGGCCTTTTTAAAATCTTAGAAACCCTATACAATTTCACTATTTAGCGTCTTGAACACTTGGTGTCTTTTCAGTTGGATAGGAAGAATATAAAAGACTGGGAAATTTGGTGAGGTGTGGTCTGTATTTATTGTGGTGACAACATTTTTTTCAGTTCCAAAAAGTTTAAATCTACGATTTGAATTTGAAAATTAATTAATTCTCTGGGAGAAAGGAAACGAGTCAGGTTTATAAAATTAGGGTTCTTGGGTAAAGTAAAGAAATGAACGATTTTTGTGAGGGTCAGGGTTTGAAGGCCTCTGTGGCCCAATTCTGCTCAAATTTTTCTTGAGTGCTCCTACTCCGGGAGTAGGGACAATTTACTTCAGGGGTAAGTGTGTGCAGTAGTTTATTTAACCATAATAGTCTTAGTAACCGTACCCGTTGTGTGAGATAATCTAAGATTGTGTGAGACTTTGTATTTCTTACATATACGGAATAAAGTTGTAAACTATAAGCAGTCTCTAGTTTTTAAAAGCCTCGACTTCGTCTCTGGTTTACATAACTGCCTCGAATTCTCCCACTCTTGTGACTCTTGTGTTTATATTAGGGTAGACAAACATGGGTATTACAGTCGGAAAAATTTGCATAACCTTTGTTCTTTATTTCTTTTTTTTATGGTGGGGGCAAACAAGGTATATTTTGGGCAATCGCAAGTCTGCGTGTGGTGAATTGCTTAATGAGATTGGCCGCTTTTATGCTAGAGACGTTAAAGTCGTCTAAAGACGACTTTAACGTCTAGTATAAAAACGGTAAATAAGGCAGACGACTTTAACGTCTCAGACGTTAAAGTCGTCTGGTATAAAGACGGGACGTCGTAAACTAGGACGCATTTATGCTCGACTCGTCCAGAGACGACTGGGACGAGTGCAAAACAACATGGCGGCCAAGAAGAGAATGAAGGCGTCTCGTGGTAGAAAGTGGAGTGAGGATGAACTTAAGGAGTTTGCATCTGTTCGCGCAGACGACCGAACTGAATTTGCATTAACTTTGGAGACTCTTGCACTCAAAAAGTCAGCTAATGTTCATATTTTTGAAGCCATTAAGAAAGAGTTAGATGCTCGTTTACAAGCGAAGACAACAACCAGTTCTAAGAAAGGAAAAGCAAAGGAAATCGATAAATCAGTTGTTAAGCTACGAGCAAAATATAAATGGCTGAAAGAGCAGTGGAGAAAAAATTTGTTGGCATTTCGCGGGCTTGAAGTTCATGTTTGGCGCCGCTTTAACTCGTGTCCAGTGTCTTCCGAGAGTAGAGCCTAGTCCTTTTTTCAGAAAACTGTACTTTTTTAAATAAGGTCGTCTACTTTTGTGCGTCCCGTTTTTACACTAGACGACTTTAACGTCTCAGACGTTTAATGCGTCTGGACGACTTTAACGTCGCTAGCATAAAAACGGCCATTGTCGTTACTGAAGAAGTCTTGGGACTAGTTCCAAGTCTCATGACGCCAAATCTCACCCGCGCAAAAAACCATTCAGGCAGTTACGCAAGATGCAATGCATTTTGTATCTTTTTGACTGATTTTGTTCTTAACTCGGTGACATAACCCCATAGACCTTTCTCATCTCCTGCGATAAAACTGAAGAAATAACAGCAAACTGATCCTCAAAGAGAGAAAGGGAATCCAAATAAGGCTAATTGTTTGGGTGCGATATTTTGATTAAAAACACAGAACTTCGTGCAGTAAACAAAGGAAACACCTGTAATCCCCAAATCCTCTATTTTTTATGGAGAGCGAGGAATTCTTTTGTTTTATAATGATTTGGGACATTTAAATAACCTTTCTCTTGTTCTTCGTTGCGTAAGCACGTGCATAATAACAGCCAATCAGAAAACGTGTTTCTTATAATCACGAAATTGCTTTGTGGCGCCTATTCAAATTTAAAATTCTCTTACAATCATTTCGTTCGGGAAAGAAGATGCGAAAGTACACTGCGTATCAAACCATTTTGTATTCTAGATCAATGTATCTCTTTCCCAAACCAGTTCATCGGACCATCTGTGTCAACCTTACTGCAAAATGTGAACAAAAAACCCGTTACTTTCTCTGTTTATTCGACGAGACAGATTATTGTAGCGATAGCTGTAGCCGAGTAAAAGGTAGGTAGAGTTATTTGCTTTTGAATTTTTTTTTACGTAGTAAACGGTTGCAGTTCTTATAGCTTCTCATCGAGACTAAATTTTCGATAAGGTGGATTCATTCTTATCAGTGTTCAACGTTGAGACTTATTGCGAATAGGATTGTTAGTTATATGGAGTAAGTACAAGCGAATTCTTTTCAAAAATATGGCCAAATCAAGATGAGAATTGTACTCTGGGCTGACTGTTTAGGGAGGTGAATTTTGATCCACTTTCCGTTTAACCTCGTAGTAGTAAGTACAGGGCTCTAGCAACGGCGACGGCGACAGCAACGAGAACTTCTAAAGCAATAGATTAAATAAGCAAAAGAACAACTCTACACGTGCAGTAACATTTTTCTCCACATTTTTTTCCGTCACTGCACGACCTCGATGTGAAATTCTATTGTGCGTCGATTTACGTTGGACGACGAATTTTCCTTTCTCCTACTTAACTTATCGATCTCCAGGATTTCAATTCCAGGGAAATTCAGTTATATTTTTACATTTTAACCCAGCTGGAATGATCCTGACCAAGCGTCACCGAAACAGTCCTTAGAGCAACCTCGTTCCAGTGGATGCCCAGTTCCTCTCCTACTCGGCCCCCGAGTACCATGGGAACGAGGTTGTCCCAAAATGCAATTCGAAACAAAACAGTACACTGTTACAGGGAGTTCCAGGCGCATCTGAAATGACCATTTAAGGACTGAATGCATCGGAGCGGGGAGGTTCATTTCACTCCCAACCGAAATTTTCGGAAACCTTTGCTGAATGTCATTATCTTTAATATTGCACACCTATTTCTTTGAATATGAAAAAAAGGGTTAAATTAATCAGTGTAATATTTTAAAAGGAATACAAATCATGGGGCAGTTTTTCAAAGGAACGGGAAAAAAGTTTCAAAAACTCAGAACTATAGCGACCAAATTTAAATGTAAAATCAATTCTTGTCTCACCATTAAACAAACTAGAAATTATCGTAGCAACAAAAATCGACTATAATTGTAAGGTTAATTGATTGTAGCAATTATAATTCCTCTGGATTTTTGAAGAAGTACTAAAACAACTGTTATTAAGGCCTTTTACATTTATAATACATTTCCCGACGCCACTACTGGTTTCCCCGCGAAGAACAAGCGCAGAAATTCCATACTGATGACGTGTCACAACCCAGATCTGGGTAGTGCTTCTGATTGGTTGTGCTTCAACTAATCAGAATCACTATCCAGACCTGCCCAGTGACACGTGATCAGTATGGAATTTCTGCGCTTGTTCCTCAGACGTCACATTTCGCGGGGAAACCAGTAGTGGTGTCGCGAAATTTTGGCTGTTTTCTCAGGCTACCATTAAACCGGCACGCGCATGCTTAGTACAGTGTACTGACACTTTTGCAACGATCATCATGTGAGCCGAACTCAACCGAAATTGTGTTTCCTCACTACAATCAACCCCGCTAATACGGACACTGATGGGGCCATAAAAAGTGCCCGTAGTAAGGGGGGTGTCGCGTATTAAGCTGGTTGAATCAGAGAAAATGTAAGGGATTCCTTTCCCCAGGGATCCCCAGGGACAAAGAAAACTGTCTGTAATAATGAAGTGTCCGTTAAGCGAGGTTTGACTGTATTTTTGTTACCAAGCTTCCATTCATACAGATTAGAATGTGCAATCGCCGCGAGGAAATGAGGAAATGAGGAAAAATATTCCGATCAAGAAAACGATAAAATGTTAAAAAGATTCATGTAAAGGCAAAAATCAGAAGCTTTCAGATCTATTAGATTCTTTTTTATTTTCGTGCGAAGTAAATTTATTAATCGTTGCAAACTGATCTACAATTTAAATTTATTTTGCCCCCATCTTTTTAGATACTTTTAAACTTGGCATCAGTTAAAGACTGTCATGTTGAAGCACACGTATTTTCCGGTTTAACTTACGTTCGTTTAAATGAACGACTTTTACAACCATTAAAATTCACGCTAAAACAGATTTTACTTAAAAACAATGCTAATAAACTACTTTTAACACTTCTTCTTTTCCTTGCCTTGATTGAGACGATTTTTTATCATCTCTGAACTTTTTGTCAGTAGACATAAAAAAAATTAAACTTAAGTCAATTAATTGTTCTTGACTAAACAATCTTCCGCCGGATAAACTAAATATAGTTCGTTGTACATAAAAGTCTAACTGAGTTAGAGTGATCACATTTCAATCATTGCTGAAAGCGACGATTTAGTTTTTAATAAGCAAAATTTTTATTTATGAATATTTGGCCTGAGGGGTTCTCTTTAGTAAGAGATAAAATTCAGCCACAGTATTATAAGTGAGAATTCGAAACCTGCTCACTGCGAACTACTAATCTATATGATAGTGTCTTACCTCTCCAGTTTGTGGTTGAAATTTTGCAGTTTGATGACCATTTGAATGAAATGATGTGAGCAATACAATTCAAGTATTTATTTTTGTCTTTCAGTATTTTGGGCGGCATTATTTAGCATTTTTTGTTATCACATATAAAAATAAAGCTTAATAAGCGACCCTGTAAAACGACTATGTATGTAAGCACCTGTTTTGGCACGTGCTTTATTGAACAAGATATTAGCCAATAAGAACGCTGACATTAAGAAAATATAGTCTGTGGATTTAAATTACAGAATGGTCACTTTTCTGTGGTAAACAGTTCGAAATCAAACTTCGTTAACTAACCTCACAAAGCTACAGGGAGCCGGGTTTCGTTTTGTTCAAAATCGTGTTCTCATTTCTAGTTAACGCCTTCCATTGACAAAAATCTGTCGCCTTATCATATAATAATACATTTCATTAATACTGTTTCTTCAATTCCGCAATACGAGCATTGAACAGCCCGGACAATGTAGTGAGATTTCCTGCGGTCAAGAGTGGGTCGATATCACGAGACTTATACAAGTCATGAAACGCCTGAAGCTTTGAATTTACATCAGCGGTATTGCATCTTCAGTTAATTTGCCTGTGCATCGATCGTTTGTTGACGGAGAGGTTACAAGGCGGTTTGATGAGAACTCGATGGTACAATGAAAAATGTACGTACCTAGTCAAGGTCCTTTAGATGCAACCGCTATCGTCGGATGCGCGATATCTTTATTTTTCTGCGTGGTTTCCGTCGTTGCTTTCATATTCTTCAGGTGAGATTTGTTTGTTTTTAAAATTTTACAATCCAGATAGTCCAGCTCTCCGCCCTAGAAGCCTTTTGAGTGATTTATTAATGTAATTCCCTGTAAGAAAAACGTTTTACTGAACATATTATAATAGTTTTGAATATCTTCATGCATAAAAACGGACATTTAGCTAGGGACATACACTACTTTTTAACAACACAATTTATGCGATCAGCTATGGCATATTTGAAATGAAATATTGAGTGTTACGAAATTTTGATGAGTATTTGTACTTTGTATAGTTAGAGTTCAATTGTAATGTCTACTTTTAAGATCAGTGTCTAAATTTGGTCTAGCAAGACCCCTTTCTTTTTAAGCAACCAGTCAAAATAAAGTTTGTAACGTGTGAAAGTTTTCCTCTGTTTCAAGTCGCAACCATTACTTGTTTCGATAGCAATTCAACATCATTGTTTATGCTAAAGATAAAGTTTTTACTAGCTTCTAGACGTCACAACTAGTGACTAATCATTTTCAAATAAAACAGACGACAATTTTTTAGTTTCATCCTGTTTCTACCATGAGCAGAGTAATAACATGTCTAAAATAACAATTGCAACGTTCAAAACACGCAATGTCTTAAACATAATTTTCAATTCACCACAAAAACTGAAATATTGTTATTGGCAACTATCGAATTGAAGTATCACACTGGCAAAAACTTTACTCCCTTTTGGGGCAAACTTTGTTACGCTTAACCAAAACAAAACGTGAGCTTTTCCTGATGTTTTTTCTCTTTCCGACATTTATTCTTGAAAATGAAAGCGGAGGATTTAGTGTCCGTAAAAAATTGAGTTCTCGGCCCTCCACTGACTACATCATACATAATGTATACACCTAATATTCAAACCGCTGTCGATTTTCTGTAACGAGTATTAAATATATTTTCACTTCGACTATTGAACGTTTATTCATAGCATTGTCTTCAAACACTCTTAATGTTTTCCCCCATTTTCTGAAATAAAACCAAATGAAAGCCGTGCCATTTAACAGATATAAACGCTGGTTTGTAATTTTTTTAGGCAGGCAAGCTATAAAAGAGGTTAAAATTAAAGCGGTGAGCTAGATCGCTCAGTAACCTAAACAATACTTCGGCTCAACATCAATTATTTGTAAAACAGCTTTAGATCACAAAGCAAATTATACAATGTTTTATTTCCAGCGTCAAAAGCAAGGAGAGTATAAACTGATCTACAATTTTCTATTCTGTAAATTTCCGTGCTTCCTGATTGTCTTTATAAACGCTGGAGGAAATATCTAATTTGTACGGAAAACTTCTTTGTGAAAGCATACCCCGGCGAGGCAATAAACACATGAACGCAACTCCGTGAAGGGAATAATCGGCGTAGTTCTCAGCGCTGTATTTAAGCTTAAAGCGGGTGAACGCAGCAGAAAAATTAGCATTCGATTATCTTTTTTATTTTTGTTTATTTATCGTTAACTTTTGAGCTAATTGAAGACGTTGAAGCTACAGAATAATCGCTTGAAAATGTCCCGAATAAATTTGGTTTTAACGATTGCAGACATATTTAAGAAATTTGCTTACGAGAAAGAATATTATATTATTAATTTGCCAATGAGCTTTCGGCTCGGAAATGGTCAGTCTGTGAGGCGATACGGGCGATGATCAACTACTTCTCCTTTTAATCTATCTTTAATATTCAGTCTTACCGCTTGCAACTTCTGATTCCGATAAATTGACCACCCGGAGAAACAAAAAATGGATCTGCCAAAAGTCCGAAAAAGTGAAAAATAGAGCTCTGACTTTTTAATTTGCCCGAATATAACCAAATTTTGTGTTTGTCCCAATTCCTCGTAAACGTTTCGAAACGCTACAAATTTTATTGTTTACTCGATTTATGATTGACGGTCTTTTATTGACGCTTCAAAAGAGTTCAAAAGATTCTTGAAATGGAAGAAGATCACTTCACAACATAATCACTGTTGGTTTTTTATCCTGAATAAATCAGTTGGGAATTCATATGCATGCTCCGGCCCTTGAAGCTCAGATCGTATGTGAAAAAACAGATGGATCGACGTATCGTTATCTTACTCGGAAACTGCATATTACGCTTTTCATCTTCAGACTCGAAGTAAAAGTTAAAATCGCCATGGAAAGCATTAGTGATAAACAATATTCCGAGTAAGCACTGCTCTGTAGAAACTGCAGTTCAATTAGACTCAAATGAAAGCCCAAGAACCGCCTTATTTGTAAAAAAATGTACAATTCAAATCTTGAATAGTCACTTAGTCCCAGGCTGGACTCATTAGACATACGTGCATCTCCTACGAACTTTGTAGATCTATGAAAAAGGGAAATCTTAATTAATCTCAACTTGAAAATATACCGGAGCAGGATAGAAACGCAAAAATTCAGTTTTCAAGTTTGTTTTGTGTTGATTTAATTGTCTTTTTTGCAGTAGTCTACTAATAAAACTTTAGATCGAAATTCGAGCGTCTTCTTTAACATACACTGTACGACTCTACGACGAAGATTATGACATTCACCTGGAAGGTTTAAATTTACATGCAAATAAAAACTTATTGTTTTGATTCTTTTCAATAGTGAGAAGCGCTTCAAAAAGCGATGAATCAAATTAAATACTCGACAGGGAATTAATTTATCAAAGTCCAATGACTGTGGGATTTATCTCTATGGAAACCGAATAGGCCTTTTGCAGTAGATCATGGTTACCTGATAACTTTCCGTAAACACAATTACAATAATGTTGTTGAAAAAAATTATTTTAGCAGGAACTATAAGAGCATATAAAACAGTAAATATCCTGTAAATTTTCAGGGATATATCTCGAAAGTAGCGATTGCAAGACTCTTGCAAAGCCCACCGAAAATAAAAAGGACGCATACAGGAAAAACAACTCTTGCCACCCTGAGTCACTGTCAAGTGGTCTCCATACAAATCCTTGTATGGGCTCAGAGACAAAAAAAAATGAGCCCCGCAATAAGTAAAGGAAAGATGTAATGACAGGTTAAAAAATTTCAAAATTTCCAAGGATTTGGATGAACAACCTCGTTCCCAGGGTTCTCTCCTACCTGTCCCACTCTCTCTCTCGCTCCGTAGGAACGAGGTTGTTGGATGAACGATCATTCAACCCTGTTTGAGGGGCAAGAATTGTTTTTTTTTTTAGAGAAAGATTTGCCGAAAAACGGAGGTTATAAAATCTTTGAAAAGAATTCTAAACAGTAAGCCGTATACTCAGCAAAATTTAGCAGATACCGTTAGAAAAGTGTGATTTAGTTGCTTTTTTATTTGAAGCTGTCAATGACAGTTGTATTTTGAATTTCAAAACAAAGTTTTACACGTGGAGGCCTCTCCCCGATGGCCAACGTTTAACCCTTTTATAGGCCAATTGGGCAGAAAGGGTACCCTTTTTCCATAGTTAGTAGAGAAGACTGGTTTTGAAAGGCAGCAAACATCAATTATAAAAACAACGGCGCTGCAGTTTTATATTGGGTGCTCCCTGAATGTGCATAATTCTTTGTTTTTTGTTCTCAAATTGTGAAGGAATAAATTAATGCGACGTTTATATTGGTCGGTAAGATCAAAATGATAAGAATGCTACAGATCATTAGAGAGTCGGAAAGGATTCACAGCCATTACAGTCGATGAAATATGCCTTACATTTAAAAATGGCACCCTTTTTACATACCCACCTACGATCTTGGAATCACTTACTTCCTAGTAAAGCTTACCAGTAGATCTTGTGCTTACGCATTGCGCGTTGAAACTTGGAATGAAACAACATTACGGAAGACCACATCGAAAATTAAACGATAAAGCCACAAGGTGCGTTTGTTCAAATTTTTTTAAGTCAAAGGCCCTTTTGAATCTCAGCCTTTCATATTCTTCAGCTCGTCATATCCCTATCTTTTTACACACTGAAGCCTGAAAAGGATATCCCTTTCGGGCGGAGCCTCCCCGCAGCAGGAGTTATAGTACCCTTCAGGACTGATGGAAACGAGAGTCTGATCCAATATACTCTATTTTTGTTATTACTCACTACAGTATTTGTGTTGTGTATTTGACAGACCGAGGACGGAGGCGTTTTTGATAAAACAACACCTAGTCTATGCTGTGGGACTCACGCAAATAGTTCTTCTTGTCAGTATAGGAGCCTACGAAAAGAAGGTTAGTTTTCCAGCCGAATTCAGTTTAGTTCAGTTCTTAATTAGTTTAAAAAGAAAATTAATTCGAGTCTGGTCGCAAGGTTTCACCGTCGGGGATTCACATTCGGGATTGTTATAAATGAATGAATCTATTTCATTGTCATGACGGACATAATTTGAATTGTGGGTTCAGCTAAAGAAAGGTCTGGAAACGAAAATTCTGCCGAAACCTATCGGATCTCGTTTATACATGGTCGGCAATGGGTCGGTAAGTGAATGGATCTTCGAGAATTTTCGAAATTTCCGATTGTCCCGGATCCCCCCAAATTTCTCAGTTCCAGATCGCACAGCAGCCGACCGAAAAATATAAAATGGCCACCAAAGAAAACACATGCCATTCTTGATTCATTTATTGCAATTTAATGGGAGGTGAAAAAGGGGCCTGGGATTTTATCAGATCAATGCAGTGAACACCATTAATCAATGCAGGGTGATTATTTATAGCTTCAGGGCCATGTAACGAATCTTAGCCCTCCAGATAGGCAGACGATCTTTCCTTATACCTTCCCCCTTCACGGCAACGCAATATAAACCACTGAAATCTATTTGATTTCATGTAATTCTGAAATACTACAGTCTGAATAAAGAGGTGTATCCAATTCTCGACTATTTCATAAAGAGTCGCCAGGTAATCCGAATTTCGGAATCCTTGACATTTTTGCATGCGGAATCCGCAATCGGGAAATCTTTGCTTAAAGAATCCGAATTCCTGGGCATTCAGCTCAAGGAATCCGCATTCCTACTAACGATTGGAATTCGGAAACCATTAGTTCCTCTGACGAGGAATCCGTAATCCAGTACTGACTGGAAATCGGAATCAAAGACTGCCTTGGATTTAAATTGACTTACATACAATGTAGGGCGATAAAGAGAGCCTTCTCGTAGACCATTTCAATTACAAAACACGAAGACATAATTAATTGTCTGTTGTATGGATATAGTATGTCTTGTAACTTGTAATTTGTAATTACTATTGTAATAGAGAAGAGAAGTCGTTGCGTCACGTTGCCATGGTAGCAAATTTTCTGGATGACAACAAACCAAAACATTACTTAAAAAGTGGATTAGCACTTTTTCAAACTTCATCGATCTTATTTAATTTCATTTAATTTGTCAAAGGTCTGGGTTAAATTAGGAAGTCTCATGTCGCAGTCGTGCAACAACGGCTAGGAAATGTACAAAAAAGGTTGATGCACGTGCAAAGTTGTTGTTGTTGCTGTTTTTTTGCGCATCTAAACCTATTGCTTTTTGCTGTTCGCCGTCACCGTTGCAAAAACTCCCTATTGTTGCGATCCAAAAATTTTTCTACCATGGTAACGTGACGTCACACTTTTCCTCTCTGTTAAATTGTAATTTGTTTACCCACGGCTTAAACGTATCCCGTGTGTTCCAGATCGAATTGAAATTTGAGGGGAGGGGGAAAACCGATGATGAACCTGGAGAAAAAACTTTCAGAGCAAGGCAGAGAGCAAACAACAAACTCAACCCACATCATGGCGTCGACGGCAGGATTCGTGATTGCTCTCACCACTGCGCCACCCTTGCTCCCCAACAAAGGCATTAAAACTATTAACAGTGTAGCCTGCGAGCAAGCATTTGGGGGACTTTCGGGAGAAGTCACGCGAGAGCCGCATGCGAAAGGAGACGCGATTGTGAAGGGTGAGGAAAGAAAGCGGCTTCGCTGCTCGCTCGCGTGTTTCCTCGCGGCTTGCTTCGCTTATCATAATTGGAGCTATTAAGAGTGCTTTGAAGCTATCAAAAGTGTTTATAGCAACGTTTTTTCCTTTCCATCCCAGGAAGGATGCCAGGCAATATCAGTTGTACTTCATTATTCCGCTTCGTCTTGTTTTACTTGGTGTTTAGTGGACAGTTTGTATTTGTATTTCAATCATACAAACAGCGCTAATCCATTGAGGAGAAACGTCTTTTATCTGTTGCTCGGTTGGGGTGAGTCTCTTGATATTCTGGCTTCTAAAAAATCTATTTATTTCGTGCGTTAGTGTATAAACTCTGTTTGAATAGAGTGGGCGGTTTTTCTTTCAGGAAAAGACCCAACATGACATTTTTTTTTAGCGTATTGATGATATTTCTTGGCCTCTTAATGAAAAACGAAGATATATTATGACAGCACCACAAATGAAAGACGAATGAATGATACAATGACTCAACAAACAAACAAACGAACAAACGAATGAATAAATGAACGAGGGAACGAAAGAATGAATGAACGAATGAATGAATGAATGAATGAGTAAATGAATGAATGAATGAATGAATGAGTAAATGAATGAATGAACTACCGAACGTAGGGCTTTCAACATGTTGCTCGAAATTTTCCAAAAAGTTTCCCGTTATTTCTCAAAAAGTTGCTCAAAAAACAACCAAAAGTTGCTTTTTGTAACGAAAATTGCTCAAAAGTTGCTCGAAAAAACAAAAACTGTTTTTGGTCTGATGCTAAAATATGCAAATTATACAACAAAAGTAAGATTTCTAAGCATTTTTGTGCAATTTTGCGGTGTAACCAGGGTTGCTAAATAACTTTGCTTTCATTCAAAACAAAAAAATGTAATGAGCCGATAAAATTGTTAAATAACCCGGCTTCTTCACCCGAGACACTCAAGTCAGTCGAGTGTGAATCTTCGTCCACCATAACGTCCACTATTTTGAATTTTCAGTCTCTAAAAACCTCTGACCTAGCAGCCCGGCTACTTTTATCTTGCGCCATGATCTGCCCCACGGGGAAAGGGGGGAGGATTTGGCTCCTTTTCTTACAGGAAATTGATAAATTGTCTACCATGTGTTCAGGGAGCTTGTCACTCCACTCGATGTTGTCTCCTTCACTCTTTTGAACTCCAGGGATGATACTTCCACTAAAACATGTAACTGAAAGGAAAGACCAATGTAACTGAAAGGAAAGGCCGATTTAAGCACTAATAGCTGCTCCGATATTTTATAATTGGAAGATAACCAGAGAAATTGCTGAGAATGCAAAAAATGGCACGAAACGAAAAAAGTTGCTCGAAATACGAGAAGTTGCCAAAAAGTTACCGAGCAACTAGTGGAAAGCCCTAACCAAACGAGTTTTGATTAGTTGGATAAAATGCTTTCCTACAGTCTTTCTTGAAACCTAGCTTTTAATTCCAATTTTCTTATCGTTTTTGTGTTAAAAATCTTTCTAGGTTTTCCATTAATAGTTTTAGGAATGTCTTTAGCGATTGGATTCACTACCTCAAGCAATAGCAAAGGAACAGTGTGAGTATCTCGAGCTTAGTCACCTCATTACCTTGTAATTGAATGGCTCATCTTCGGGGGAAGGGGGGAGGGGGTAATCCCATAAAATTCGGATAGGTTTGTGCCGCCCAGGGTCGGGTTGCAAAAAATATCTTAAGATTAAAAAAACTCGTAACTATTATTTTAATACAATAAGTTTTTGTTCCACAATAAAAGGTTAAGAGCCCTTATGAATTAAGACAGTTTTATGTAACCCTGTACAGGAACCCTATTTAAGGATGAAATAGACGAAAATTAATACCCTTTTTAAGGCCCAAACCCGAAAAATCGCACCTTTTTCAAGGAAGGACAAAAACTAAAAAATTGTGGCAACACACCAACCTATAAGGAGCATTCTTAATACAAATTAGAGATGATTTTTTTTTCGTGCAGGTGGGCATTTACGCTTTCAATTTTAACTGATACAAAATAAGGTGCCCCAACTAAGGATCACGCAGGGAACAGCAAGGGCGAAAATGATACCCTATTTAACTTAGCAGTATTTTATTGTTCTTCTTTGATGACATGACCGTACAAAAACCAACGGCTGTTTGTAATGGTTTCCTTTCAGTTTATCGCTTTATAACTGTTGGGATTCAGATCATATTGTGTGGACCTTCGTTGTTCCAGCTCTTCTCATTGCCACGGTAATAATTATGCATTCTTTGAATGATTTGTTTTGCTTGTTGGAACGTTCTTGCGCAACCTTGTCACCGAAGCTTTTCCATTAGAAAGTGAGAGGGGCTGGAAAAGACCCTGGCATCGACTGGTCACGTGTGCCCCCAACAGGTCCCAATACACCCTAAAATCAAACTACAGTTAAACCTCTCCAAAACGGCCACCTTAGGGACAGAAGAAAGCGGCCATGGTAGAGAGGTGGCCATTTTTGAGAAGTGGCCATCGTAGAGAGATTTAAACAAGAGTCAATATATGGACTCTTCGCCAAAAAAGTATCTGTTGTAGAGAAGTGGCCGTTTAGGGGAGGTAGCCGTTAATGAAAGTTCGACTGTATGCGTCACCTCACAGAGCGTGATATCAGGCCGCCTCTTCCCGCCCCGCCCTTTTTCTGAGAGAATCGCCCTAGGGACTAGGCTGGTTCTTGCTTTTACAGACTTCAGTTATTTCAGACCTAGGCTTTTATACTTTCATTTTTGTAGCTCAACTTGATGGTCTTGTGCGTGACACTTCATCATCTAAGACAACCTTCCTATGACATCTGCGCCAGAGCCGTAGTAGAAAAACGATGTACAAGGTAAAACCCTAAGCCTGAAGCCTTTTATTATCCTTATGAAAACAAATAGTTAGTAACAAAGATGAAAGTCTGAGAAAACCGATATTGAGGCGGAAACAAAATAACGTCTCCAGGACGACGTGTGCTATTAACCCTTTAAACCATAAGATCAAAATTTGAATTCTCATTTGTTGCCCCTATTCATTTCCTACAGAAGAAGTGGGGAGAAGGTTATAAAATATCAAGCAAATTCATCTTGTGTGATCATGTCCGTAATTCTCATGAGCACTCTGTTTTACATAACATTGATATTACAAGGAGAAATTTGATGCTGATCACTCTTAGGGCTTAAAAGGTTAAAACGCCCAAAATGACTAAGTTGCCTTCCGGATGGAAACAAAGTGTTATAATTCTTTACAAATATTACAACACTCCTCTACATAATCCACATAAGTAGATTTTATGGCGAGAAATGGAATACAAAGCACAATTTTAATTTCTTGTGATAAGGCTCTCTTTTTAGGAGGAGGGCGAAAAATCGCGAGAAGATGGTGAGGGGGAAAGGGGATGGGAGGAGTTTTTCCTCCGTTTTATTCGGCCAAATTTAGTCCCAAAGAAGGCTTGGATATTCAAAGGCGAATTAATGATCTTAAAAGGTGGAACGGCTATAAGCAAGAAGCCAAATCACTGCTTTCGGAAGGAGGTAAAAGTACGCTTCCAATGAAAAAGACATACTCGGTATGAATAGAAAAATGCGAAACGGTGCTAGGTGAACAAAGTGCCTCCCTCTTTTGCCCTCTTTTGTTTTGAACAGGTATGGCCTTAGGACCAATAGCCTTATGCTACTCGGCCTTTGCCTCGGCTGGATTTTTGGCATTCTTTCCTTCCATAAGGATAAAGACGTAGTTTTTCAACTCTCTTTTGCACTTGTTAACGGTTTACAGGTTGGTATTTTCTCCAATATTGTGTACATACACAAAGCCATTTCGCGAATGAATTCATGATGCAATTTCAAACCAAATGACGTCATCACACCAGGTGAAATAGATTTGTCTCTAGGTTTCTGGTTTCGCGCCTTGCTTTTTTCACATCATAACTTGGGCAATTGTGTCCTTTCGTTCCAACACTAAAGGCCATGAATTTGATTTGTTAGAAAAGTCTCTCTCCTTTATGCTAACCTGAGAAAACAGCTGACACCACTGGTTTCCCGGCGAAATGACGTCTGAGAAACAAGCGCAGAAATTCCACACTGATGACGCGTCACTACCCAGATCTGGGTAGTGCTTCTGATTGGTCATACACTGAGGTAAATTTGCTTCAGCCAATCAGAAGCATTACCCAGATCTGGATAGTGACACGTCATCAGCATGGAATTTCTGCGCTCGTTTCTCAGACGTCATTTCCCGGGAAAACCAGTGATGGCGCTGTAAATGTCGGCTTTTTTCGCAGGCTACCTTTTTGTTGACAAATTAATATTTTTTAACTGCCATAATATTTTCTTGTTTCCGTTCCAGGGGATATTTTTGTTCTTTTTTCACTGTGTTCTAAACATTGACGTAAGTACAGCTTTCGTGTAATGCCCTCTTCCTAGAAAGACCTCAGTATGTTAAATCTCGAATTGTTTAAACTAAAAACATATAAGATGGCCTACGGGTATTCAGTATGGCGTAATAGGTTGCTATAGCAGCACTTAATCCAGTGTTAAACATCCTTAATTTTAGTTTTAACTTCTCATTTTTCATTGAATTGTAATTGGTATGTTAAATAAATCTTTGTCGAAAATCTTAGAGGTAGTTCAGAGCCACCTTCATTTTTTCACGACTTAACTAGGTGTAATTTNAATATTGTGTACATACACAAAGCCATTTCGCGAATGAATTCATGATGCAATTTCAAACCAAATGACGTCATCACACCAGGTGAAATAGATTTGTCTCTAGGTTTCTGGTTTCGCGCCTTGCTTTTTTCACATCATAACTTGGGCAATTGTGTCCTTTCGTTCCAACACTAAAGGCCATGAATTTGATTTGTTAGAAAAGTCTCTCTCCTTTATGCTAACCTGAGAAAACAGCTGACACCACTGGTTTCCCGGCGAAATGACGTCTGAGAAACAAGCGCAGAAATTCCACACTGATGACGCGTCACTACCCAGATCTGGGTAGTGCTTCTGATTGGTCATACACTGAGGTAAATTTGCTTCAGCCAATCAGAAGCATTACCCAGATCTGGATAGTGACACGTCATCAGCATGGAATTTCTGCGCTCGTTTCTCAGACGTCATTTCCCGGGAAAACCAGTGATGGCGCTGTAAATGTCGGCTTTTTTCGCAGGCTACCTTTTTGTTGACAAATTAATATTTTTTAACTGCCATAATATTTTCTTGTTTCCGTTCCAGGGGATATTTTTGTTCTTTTTTCACTGTGTTCTAAACATTGACGTAAGTACAGCTTTCGTGTAATGCCCTCTTCCTAGAAAGACCTCAGTATGTTAAATCTCGAATTGTTTAAACTAAAAACATATAAGATGGCCTACGGGTATTCAGTATGGCGTAATAGGTTGCTATAGCAGCACTTAATCCAGTGTTAAACATCCTTAATTTTAGTTTTAACTTCTCATTTTTCATTGAATTGTAATTGGTATGTTAAATAAATCTTTGTCGAAAATCTTAGAGGTAGTTCAGAGCCACCTTCATTTTTTCACGACTTAACTAGGTGTAATTTAGCATACCGTAAAATTCCGAAAATAAACCCCGGGGCTTATATTTTTCAAAGGCCCTTTTTGAGGGGCTTATTTTTGGAGGGGCTTATATTCGGAGGGGCTTATCTACGGGGGGAAATTTGCGTTTCAAAATCGATTGGGCTAACCTTATAGTTGGAAGTAAATTTACCGCTTTTGCTTTGTTTTACTTTGTATTTGAGGGCAATTTTCCAAATACAAGCCCACGGGAGCTTACATTTGGAGGGGCGATTTAACGGAGGGTTTTTTGCGTTACCGGTTTGGGGGGCTTATATTTGGAGGGGCTTATACATGGAGGGGATTATTTTCGGAACTTTAAGTTATCTTTAACTTTATTACCAGATCAAAGCTTATTACCAATCAGGAGTTCATCGCTGTAGCCATGAAGATGGCTGTTTGACTGACAGAGAACGTAGCAGACGGGTCAATGCGCAAGCACAAGATCCGGTAAGCACGTGATAATCACATGGGTGTAGAACAATGGAAAAGCGTTTCACTCCCCGAACCATAACCAGTAACAACGGTAACTTCAAGTTATGCACATTCAACTCTCTCTTAACGGACAACACTGTAAGACGGGCACTGAGAGGTTGGTCCTTGTCGTCTTTTAGTTACATTGTAGTCTTTTTTGTATTTTCTATAAGGCGAATATTCCTATAAGACGGACATTTAATACCGCCAGTAATACTGTGTCCGTCCTAGAGAGAATTCCGGGGCTACTCGACCAATATTTTGGTATAGGCGAGCCACTGCGGGTTTGAAATCCTGACCTTGTTTAGGACCAAAAAGTCCTAAACTAAATACCATGTTTAGGACGACAGGCCCTCAATTTCATTACCCCTGTTTAGGAAAAGGACAAAATGCGGGCTGTCTTGTTTTAACGCCATTTTGTGGCAATTGAAATAGAACAAATTCACATTTTAGTCTGTCATTGCTTTTGTACACTTACAGCAGGACTAATTCGGACAAATTATATACCCTCTTTCGGACAGACTCGCCCGCAATTATATACCCTTTTTAGGACAAAGAAGACAAAAACCATACCCTGTCCAGCGGCACATCCCTGTATAAGCCATATAAGGGAGTACCCCATCCCCCGGGGAGTGAGTTAACTGTATGAGTGACGGCTGACAGCAAGTAAACACAAAAACACACAAGGCCATATTTAGAAGCTCTGACACTTGGCTATTGAGCAGCACGCGTCTCGTTTTTCAGGAGTATCAGTCAATTTGGGAAGGGAGAAAGAGAAGGGGAGAAAGGGAGAACCGGGGATTCATTCTCCAGTTCTTGCAGCTAACTTGGCTTGGAGCTTGAAACAGGCCCCAGCCGCAGATTATGCAGTATCTACGGAGTCCGGGGGTAGTCCCGAAACACGTTACGAGACAGCCTTTTCCCTGGGAATGAATATGGACCGGGGTGGTGCGTACACAAGCAGTTGATCGTATGCAAACAAAAGTAGGTGCGCATGATCGCCGCATACTGCTATTAGACCTCGCGTTTATATGGCCTTTTTAGACAGGATCTCGTAGAAAGATAAGCACCAGGAGCCACGCCCAGGACAACATTCCATTGATATCAGTAAGAGCACAGAGCAGTAGTAACCAGGTGAGATACACGCCTACATACCAGAAAGAGGGAATTAAGTTAAAGGACACAGGTTAACGAGCTAATTGTTATCATCAGGAATTAAAAGGCGCACTCATCGGGGAGCTTTAGCAATGACAACAGCGACGGCACGAAAACGTCAAAAATGCAATTGACTCAACAAGAAAGACAACAACTTCGCGGGTGCAGCACAATTTTTTGGTACATTTCTTCGCCGTCACTGCACGACTGCTTTCTCCTTCTAAACTTGGCTTGGGTCTCTAAGAACTCAATCCCAGGAAAATTCACCTACATTTGACATTTTCAGTGAGTCCGAATAATTGCGACAAAGTTTGAAAAAAAGCGAAGTCTTTTTTATAACGACGTTTTTGTTGCCGTCGTCGATGCTAGAGCGGAAAACCAAGTTTAGCCTACGTAACAGGCGTTTTGTCTGGTGTGTTTTTCGTCCGTGTTTTTTAAAGTAAGAGCTCAGACGAGAAAGCGATGGAGTAGAGGGCAAGAGAAAGAAGGCAGACAAAAATCCTTCTGCCCTCTTTCACTCCCATTTTCCCATCGTTTCCTCTTTTGACCTCGATTCAGTGTTGGCGCAGCTGTATCTCTTGCTTTGTTACGATACACAAACGAAAAGTTCACCAAAAAAAGCCAGCAAAGCAGGCTAAACCAGGTTTCTGTCGCTTGAAGCACATTTTATATGAGTGTTGCTATCCGCCCTCCCTGGATGGGTTGTTAGTCCATCACTGATTGCCCCCAGAAGTATATCGCTGGTACCCATTTCAGGAAGAAGAAAGACGTAGTGGAGCAAAAATTATTGTCTAAGGAAACTGCACCACGCAGAGGCTCAAACACGAACCTCAATCCGAATTCGCACTTCCACATACAATGAATTTTCAAAAACTAACTGAAAAAATAGGGCGCCCAGAAATACGGAGTCTACGGGAAAAGGATTAAGAAAGTAGTGAAGTTCTTGCAAAGAGATTTATAATGGCCACAAAAGAGCAATTTCATTTGAGACAGGTTTAAGAAAGGGCTCAAAAGGGTCCATGGTATCATGGTAATGTATCAGAAATGAACCAAGCTGATGAAAGGCGCTGAGGCACAGAACCGCAAGAACCTTCCTAACATTTACTCACATAATTATAAATCAGCTCGCGTGTGCTCACTGATTTGACAAGAAAACTTTTAATGGCGGTCTATGGTTAAAAGGATTCTCGTTTCACCCCTTGTAAAAGAATCCAAGACAGCCTTGGATTCTGGATTCCAAAACGTGGATTCCGGATTCCAGGTACCGGGAACCGGATTCTTTTTCAGTGGAACTTGGATTCCGGATCTTAATCGTTAGTGGGATTCCGGATTCCTGAGTTGTATTCCGCATTCCAAAACCGAGGATTCAGGATTCTACAGCAAAAAGGAGTTGTCGAATAATTCCACTTAGCCATGAGAGTTGATCCTTACACGTTTCAGTCTGGGTTAATTAATTACATTTATATGATACCAGATCAGCTCTCGTACTTTGACTGGTGTAGTTATTAAATTTCGATCCTGCTCGCCATAGAGCCTCCAGTAGGTCAGTAGTTAGATCAACCGATCTAGAACTCGGAGGGCCACCTGGAGCTCGGAATTTTTTCTGAGCTTTCTGGTGTTAGAATTCTCCTTCCTCCAAACAACTCATGTTCAGGAGAAGAGTATTAATGTGTGCTCGCTCTAAGCTGTCTGTGGCACCAGAGATTATAGTTTACTCTTTCATTCCCGTTAGGACGAAAACTCTGCTGTTTCCCCACCCACTGCACCAAAAGCAGAGCCTCAGCCACTAGAGGTTACAGTTGAGTCAAAGAGGGAATCGCCACCAGTGGAGGCGGAGGCAGCGGTGGAGAGAGCCCCACCGAAGCCTGACCACGATGCTTATCCCAGTCTTCCCGGGACACCTGAGCCGCACATATCTGAATTTGAAGTGAAGCAACCAAGACGACAGAGCACGCCACCTGATCAGCTTGTGAGCAAAAGGACCAAAGAGGTAACTCAAGAGTTTCCGGAGGAAACCAACCCATTTGAGAATATTCATTAGATTTTTTAAATGTGAAACCCATTTTGTATAGGTAATAGCATGATTTGTAGTGATATTTGGCATAAATACCACGAGTGATATTTCGAAATTGTTATACGTAATTTCACGAGCCGTTAGGCGAGTGAAATTTGAGACAATTTTGAAATATCACGNAGGACGAAAACTCTGCTGTTTCCCCACCCACTGCACCAAAAGCAGAGCCTCAGCCACTAGAGGTTACAGTTGAGTCAAAGAGGGAATCGCCACCAGTGGAGGCGGAGGCAGCGGTGGAGAGAGCCCCACCGAAGCCTGACCACGATGCTTATCCCAGTCTTCCCGGGACACCCGAGCCGCACATATCTGAATTTGAAGTGAAGCAACCAAGACGACAGAGCACGCCACCTGATCAGCTTGTGAGCAAAAGGACCAAAGAGGTAACTCAAGAGTTTCCGGAGGAAACCAACCCATTTGAGAATATTCATTAGATTTTTTAAATGTGAAACCCATTTTGTATAGGTAATAGCATGATTTGTAGTGATATTTGGCATAAATACCACGAGTGATATTTCGAAATTGTTATACGTAATTTCACGAGCCGTTAGGCGAGTGAAATTTGAGACAATTTTGAAATATCACGAGGGGTACATATGCAAAATATCACGTACAAATCATGCTATTATTTGTTTATACTATTACCCAAAAAAGGTTTGTAATTTTCACATGTAGGTATTTCAAATTAAGCTGAAATACCACTGTTCTAAGCCAATCAAACTGCAGAAATTTCTAATGTAGTAGTATAAACCACCTAATCCATCTGCAAACTTAAAAGTTAGAGTCACCTTGCGAAGCATGATAAATAGCGCGACAGGGAAATACTGCTCAGTACAACTTTTATCTGACCGTATTTGGTTTCCTAATGATAAGGAAAAATGGCGGAGATAAGGCCCACGCCCTAAAGGCAACACCTTATGGCGGGATAATCTGCCCGCCGGACACAAAGTCTTAACATCACGATTATTACCCGGCCGGGTTTCAAACCTGTGATCTTCCGGCCGCTTGGCAGGCAACAGGCACTGGATACTAATCACTGCGCTAACGATGAAAAAGGCAGCAGATTACATGTCCTTATATCGGGGCCTCACATCTGTGACATTCTTCTCCATTTTTTCCTACAAGGTGGAGGGAATAGGTAGAAGATCAGCGACTCCAACCAGCTTATCAAACTACAAGCCGCTTGCTGACGACAGAAGTGAAAACTATCCCTCTTCTCATGCAGCTGAAAACTTGAGAGTAAGTATAATATCTCTTTTCTAGTTACTCCAGTGAAAATACGGAGATTTACGTCCTTCTGGTTAATGTTGCATATACAGCTGCTTTAATAATATTAACGTTGTTGAATTTTACTAAGGGCCCAATCCTACGCGTCATGACGGCATGGTCATGTGGGAGCTGTAAACCCTTTGTTGTTCGGTCACAACTTGGCGGTTGTAAAACGGCTATAGTATCGTATGAAATAACAAAGCCTGTTCTTTGCGATTTAATTTATAACGCAACAGTTGCTTCACAACTGATGTTGATAATTTTTTTTTCTGAAGAAACCCGTATTGCTGAGTGGTCTCGTTACGTACACTGAACGTAGGCTTTCCGACAACGTTAATAGTCCTGTATACCCAGGAGAGGGGGGGAGGGGGGGGGGCGGTTACCTCCTCGTTATAGGCTAATGGGGATATACCGCTGGATGGGATCGCATTTTCACGACTGGATTGACTACAATGGGGTTGCTTTTATCATAGAGTTACTAAAATGGGGTCGCTCATTCTCGGGATTTTTGGGGTGAGAAAATTCTGGTAAGTAGGGATTTAAAAACGGGAGATTTTTTACTAAATTCGTTTGTCCAAATCAGTGTGTCAATTCATTTTAAGATGACCCAGTTAAAAGGCTGTATAAGGTAGACGCATAAACAGAAAGTGACTAACTGTAAGTTGGGATCGCGAAAATTACATTTGTACAGAAATGACCAAGATGGGGTCTATAATTGACTCAAGAATAGACCATAATGGGGTAGGGGCACTGAAAGATCGGCGGCACATACAGCAAAAATTGACCCAAGTACAGTCCCGCTCCAACGGGCGGTGTACCAATGAGCCTGTTCCAGGCTCCGAGATAGTCGGATCCGCGAACACGAAAATAAAACGGGAGGAACCTTTTTCCTTTTTCCCGCCCTGCCAACTTTTCGCTAGCCTCCCACGCAGGCGTTTTTTAGGGAGCCCGTTTTCATCCCTCCCCACAAACGAGCTCCCCTAAAAACGCCTGCGTGGGAGGCTAACTTTTCCCGTACCTTTCACTTTCTCGTCTACCCCACTATCTGAGAACCTGGAACAGGCTATTAACCAATGCGTAGCACAATCTGAACCATATCCAGGCGGATACCAAAAAAGGTTCTGGACAAAAGTATCAATAAAAGAAGGTGACTATAAATAAAGGTACAGTGCGGACACAGGAGAGCCTGTCGTACATCAGTACGTATATCGTTCTGTCTGAAATGGCCAAGACGTAAAGACGTTTCCGCTGTGGAGACCTGGTCATAACAGACATTACAGAGAGGTTAGCAGAAGAGTGAATGCATGGACTGTCAACCGGAACAGAAAAGAATGCCATTAGTAACGTTTCAATCTTAGTTTCTTTAGTTGAAGTTATGATTGTGTACTGTGGTTGTTTAAAGGTGATGTTACACGGGACGTTTCGCAATGACAATTTTGAGCGCAACACAGCGTTACAACATTGTTGCTACATTGCATCGAATGGTTGCAACGTTGTTCCAACGTTGCAACGCTGTGTTGCGCTTAAAATAGTCGTTGCGAATCGTCTCGTGTAACATGACCTTAATTTGACATTCAGGTACATCAAAGAGCTGGTAAATCACGCAGCGAGCCTGCAATCCCTGCTTTTGACGTGCATAAACCTGCACAAAAACAGTACTCCACTCACGTGGACAGCAAATCAGATGATCGCAAACTTAGTGTCCAGTCCTCCCATTCTACAGGATCTTCAGAGAAAAAACCAAGACGGACTTCACGAACAACGCAAAGCACGCCTTTGAATGAGGTAAGTCCAAAGGCCGTTGGATAATTAACCTAAATTTATGATGTTTTTCCAGAATCTCAGACGCACAGTTATTTCCTTTCTTAAACTCTTCCAGGAAATAACATCTCTGATCAAGGTGTAATATAAAGCCCAACGTTCAAGATCGTATATTGACCCAGTTTTAGTGGCATGAAACACTAAGAAAAATTACTTGGTTACTCTCGTCATTGTGTTTCCAGAATAGAACTGTACACTAGGATTTGAATGCGAAGCAATGCTTGTTGTTTAGACCTGATTCATTTTGCCAAACCACACCGCAACCGTCTCTGGTCACTTGAACCCTTTTTACGCGGCGTCCAGGTTAAACTGAACTGAGAATGAAAAACTTTGGATTTACCACTCTTCAGTCTTTCTCAAGTTTTTCATTGCAAAGCTAGAAGCGCAAAATTTTTTTTTATGCAAAATGGTAACCGCGTGGTTAACGTTCGCTGTAAAGGTCTATGATCAAACCAGAAAAGCAATACAAATCTACCAAAAAACTTTGTTTGTGCGTTACGTTCGCTTTCATTTCAAGAGAAAAAAAGCGCTTTTTTCCCGCTCCCCGTTTTTCTTGCTTGTCTTCCTCTTTTTTTCCCTTTTGGTTTGGCTTTTGCTAGGCTGCATTCCGCTAGTAGTAAAATGACGTCATCATATTCGTGACATCATCTAGTAAAGTCATGAACAATGACGTTGATTATGATAAGAAGAAACTTTTGATACGAGTTCTCTCAGTTTTTCTTTGCTGCTTTTTTTTTCCAGTTGGAGAGTTTGTTTTCCAATCCATATTATGTTAAACCTCAAAGACCATCAGTATCTAGTCTGTATGGTCCGGGCGGAGGAGATAGAAAGAATTCTTACGAGGTAACTAAATACTTTTCTAGCCTATAACCTGTACCAGCTGTTCATGAGATTGTGGCGACGGCCTTATAAGATGTGAGTAGGAAAAACAGCAAGGGAGGGGTGGGGTTGTGGTTGAGAGAAAAGGAACCCGCTCCTCTCTCCCTTTTTTTCGACTTAGTTTTTTCTGCTCTTTGACTTTGCATCGCATTTCACTATCTGAACGCTTTGAACAGGCTATCTAGTCTGTTAAAGGTCTTAAGTACTTAACTATAATAAATACTACGTTCCATGTCATGAGTATTGGGAGCTTACTAAAAACGTCATTACCTTCTTTTTTTACCAGTGAGCTTATAAACTACCTCCAGAAACAACTTCACACAACGGCACAGAAACAGGGGGTGGGGGAGGGGAGGAGGGCCCAGAAACCTTTTTGTTGTTAGCAAATGTAAAGTTCAAACTGTCCTCTTCTTTTGTCTCTGCTGTAGACAGTTCAAGGTTCAAGAACATCTTCCCGCAATACAGAAGAAACCATGCTCTGAGCTGTGTAAACAGCTGTTTGGTGATGTTTTGAACTAAAGCTATGTAAACAGCGATGGCAAGCTTCACAGTTTGAGTGAAAATGAGAAGAAGCATGGCCACAGGACTATTTGTGGCTTAGGTCAGACTCGAGGATGTTGATGACGGATATGAAAATATGGTCCGAAAATATGCCTACTGGCTTAACTTGAACTTCATAAATGCCTGATAAAAATGAACAAGGCCTCTAAAGCTGATATGTCAACAGTTTTCAGCTAGTAAATGAGTTATATATCGATTAATAAAGTTTTATTGTTGATTTCTTGCTTTATCTTGAAATTTGCGGACTGATGTAAAGTAAACGTCAATTTCGAACGCTTAGATTGTGGAAAAATGGACTGCCTACCTAGCAGTAAGAGACTCTGAACCCTTAGTGACTTTTCTAGCCCTCTCTTCGCCAGAGAGGCCTTTTTTGCCCCACATAATGGCATCCAGGAAAAATTTTGCTTATTGATTCTAGAATCCCGTTATAAATATTGAAATCCGGAATCCATGTTCCACTGATAAGGAATTTCAAGTCCATAGCGTGGAATCCAGAATCCAAAACTGTCTTGGATTACCAAGTATATGAGAAGCTAGAGAGACTAGGGAGAGGAAAACAGTAAGCGCACAGGGGATAATGGGAGAGGCAAACATAACATTGAAATTTGACAAACAGACACAAAACCAGTCTGAGCGTTTATTCACCCTAATAGGGTACTTGAACACAATCCAATTTTTTACACAAACAATGATAGGCTTTTCAACAAACTCAGTTATGGAATAACAAAACAGATTATAAGTGCATGCTGAATGTTTTTCACACATTGTAACCAATCAGACTTCTTCTTCCAATGATTTCCCCAACATAAAACCAGAAGGCAATTTCAGCAGCTACCAGAGTATTGACACAAGCTTGTTTAACAGTTACATCCACAAACTTTCCAGCTAGGGCCGCATCTTTCAGCCCCATAAAGCTCTTCTTGATGGCAGGCCAATCTGACATCTTTGGTGGTGCCATCTCAACTTTAGCATTGTTCCAAAATTTGGTAGCATGAGGCTGTGCTTTCTTCGCCAAGCCTGGAAGAGAAATTGGGGATTTAATTTAAAATAATACAGGTAAGCATTCTTTTTACCTTACAAGAATTCCCCACTTGCGGAAAATGTACTGATTATGAAGAAAGGCCAATACAATGATGTCTTTCTTCATATAAACTACCATAACATTCCACTCAAGTTTTAAATAAATGCCCTTGGACTTATACATGTATGAGTAACGGGACAAGAAATTCCTGAGAAACACATGCTTCATCAAATAGACATTTTACCGAAAACAGACAAAACAGGCACCCCTGTTTACATATTAAAATTTCAAAATAGACAATATAGGCACCCCAGATGACATATTACAATGCTCCACTGACATTTTTACAACAACGGTGATCTTCAATTGAACAAAAATTCAGTGGAATGAAATCTGTTAAACAGAAACCAGCATGAAGTATACACAGTAGCAAAAAAAGTCTTATCGGAGATCATTAATTACATCAGAGGGGTGTGAAATAGGAATAATATTTGCCAATTCTCGTTTGTGATCACTGATGACAACTTCCATTAAAAAAATAGCGCAGCATGTTGTTATGTGTTCTTGTTTAATGGGAAATTTACTCTTAAATCTGAGTAGACTTTGGTAATTAAAGGATGAGGGTGTGTAAACGGTGTTTAATATTTGCTGGACCGCTAGCTTTCAAACAATACTACGTACAAAACGCGCCACACGAGGAAGCTAAACGGAATAAAACGAGCACAAAACTATCGGTGATTCAGAAAGTGTCTTACCAAGCGCTTGAAATCCCCATCTAGTGGCCACACGAGGTGTTGCGACAGCGATTCTTTGCCCAAAATTCACCAACTTCTGCGCCATCTTGAATCTTCACCGGCGAAGAAACTACCCACAANATCACTGATGACAACTTCCATTAAAAAAATAGCGCAGCATGTTGTTATGTGTTCTTGTTTTATGGAAAATTTACTCTTAAATCTGAGTAGACTTTGGTAATTAAAGAATGAGAGCGTGTAAACGGTGTTTAATATTTGCTGGACCGCTAGCCTTTCAAACAATACTACGTACAAAACGCGCCATACGAGGAAGCTAAACGGAATCAAATGACCACAAAACTATCGGCGACTCAAAAAGTGTCTTACCAAGCGCTTGAAATCCCCATCTAGTGGCCACACGAGGTGTTGCGACAGCGATTCTTTGCCCAAAATTCACCAACTTCTGCGCCATCTTGAATCTTCACCGGCGAAGAAACTACCCACAATGCAGTGCGTAGTCGAGCATGCGTAGTAGTGTATAGCAAGCATTTGTACCACGTGCGTCTGCGTTTAGGTTTTGTTTCTCCAAGTTTACGATGGGTAGACCAGGTAATATCTTGCGCTTCTTTAACCCCCACGCTAAGATTTGAATACCTTGGTCCCTTGCTGATTATAAAAACACATTTTCAGGTTTCTCTCCGCGAGGTGGTGGACGAGGTGGTGGCGGCAGAGGCGGTGGAGGACGAGGTTTGTAGTAGCTCACCATGTTGTTTACAACGTGATCTGAAGAAGTAAATGGCGAAATGATCTTGGCTCTCTTGTTTCTTGTGCTCCAAAGCGTGCATTTTAACGAATAAGTATTGCAATGACATGCGGGGATCACGTTTCAACGATCTAAACTTGCAGTGAATTTTGGATCTCCATAAACAAAAAACGTGTTCTCAATGCAACTCCAGATTCTGGAAGGCTGAAGATCGAGGAAACATGAGCTTACTATTCCTTTGATTAGACGCACGATTTCCTGATAGATATGAAATATCTGGGATAGAGTATGGGGAAATTCTTAAACAACAAGAAAGATTTTATCAAGGCTAAGTCAAACATCCACAGCATATGTCTCAGCATTCTCACTACATAAAATTTTGTTGAAGGTTGTTGAGCACCCCTGCCAGCAGAGTCTTTCTTTACTCAAGAAAGACTCTGCATGAATTGAGTAAGATCTTGGTTGAGCTTTCACTGCATGTTGCTAGGATGCAGTTCGAACCCAGGCCTAATAGCCGTGAACTTGGTACAGCGAGCTCAGTTATGATCATCAGTTTATCAACGAAAGAATGCTCACACTTGAAAAAACTGGTTTGATGCGCGAAAACCAGATTGACTAGTCAAGAAGTTTGGGCTGCGGCGACTTCAAAGATTTGACGCAATTCAGCTAGAGTCTCCTTTTCTCCTTCTCACTTAATCCTTCAAGTTTCAATATCCTCATACAAATTCTCCAAACATCTCCATACATTTCCTGTAAGAATTGCTTAAGAGAATTTGATAAACGATCATGGCATTTTCCCTTTGATGATCATTTTATTAATTCTCATAACTTTATCTCATGACAATGTATTGATATTATTAGGAGAAAATTGTTGTTGGTCACTACTGGCACTTAAAGGGTTAACAAGACAAAAGGAGGCTCTGCTAACAGGGTGGTTGTTGAGCTACATGTAGATGTTGCGGAAACCCTACATCCTTGGCCATCGGTAGCCAGTCATTTTGCACCCTCTTTTTTTTGCTTCAGTTACTTAGCACCCTATTTTTGAGTCATCTAAATATGTTATATATCTTGTTCTTTAGGCAATGTTAAAGGTTACTTAGCTAGGGGGCTAAGTTACCAGGATGAAATGACTTGGGGGTGATGCAATCCATGGCATCACTAGTTCCTCACTTTTTTGCTTTAGAAGTTCCCTTTCTGATAGTATACAGATGGATAGCCCTTGAAAGCTCACACCCAATGGGATCGTCATAACCCCGTTAGCAGAGCATGGCAGAACTTCATAACATCTTGTGCATGCATAGCTTTTTTTTTTCCTGCTGGTTTGCAAATAATAATTGTGCAGTTACTCAGTGTCATCCTATTTAATATGGCTATTGAGACCTTTAAAAAGGGGTAAGACCCAGGTACACATCACTTGGGGATTGAACTTGTGACCTCCTGCTTAGTGCATCGACTGAACTAACCCTGCCTGCTCTAAAAATATTATTTACTTTTCCCTTTGGTAAGTAGACTTCAAGACAGTTAGTAAACTTCATGCTGTGTGTTTAAATACGAGCACATCATTTAACTTTTGGTGTTCAGTCTTTGGACTAAAAAACTAATGATTTGTTATGTACACTGTCAACAGGAGGCTTCCGTGGAGGTGGTGGAGGTAGAGGTGGCGGATTTGGCAGAGGTGGTGGTGGAGGTAGAGGCGGCGGATTTGGCAGAGGTGGAAGAGGCGGTGGACGAGGAGGAGGTCGAGGTAGGTTTCCCCATTATTACCATTTTTAATTACACATATTACCATATGTGTTGTACATGTGCCTGTCTCAGTTCAAACCATATGATGGAGAATGAGATCTTTAATTTTATTGGAGCTGACTTGTCTGTAAACAAACATCTTAGCTTGAATTAATCCATTCTCAGCTCAACAGCCTGTACACAGCCTGGAAAACTATTACTTTTGTGCCAAAACTTGCAATGTTGACCTCACAGTTGTCACGCACAAAAGATAGTTTAACTTTTACATTATGCTGGGGAAGAGGACTGTTAAACTGTACTCAAATGATTACAACTTGGTCAGACAGGTCAGATCAGAGAAAACAAATGAGATTCTTGTCGCACTCTGCACCTTTGCTTGCTTTCAATGATGTTGAGGTCTTTGTCATTTTTCTAAGAAACTTTTCCCACAGATATCAAGCCAAGTACATTGTACTGTAAATACTCATTCAGAGTAGCCTGAATTTCAACTGTTCGCTCGAGTCGCAAACTGCTGACAGATAGCTAGCATAAGAAAATGGCCCGCATTTCACGACACGACCGATGGTTTCCCTGTGAAATGGCATCTGAGAAACGAGTGTACAAATTCCATACTAATGACGTGTCACTACTCAGACCTTGGTGGTGCTTTTGATTGGATGAAGCAAATTTCTAACCAATCAGAAGCACTATTCAGATCTGGGTAGTGATGCATCATCAGTATGGAATTTATGTGCTCAGATGTCATCTCACTGGGAAACCGTCAGTGGCATTGCTAAACGGCGGCTGTTTTCTCAGGCTAACAGATCCCCCGTAAGCAGCTCATTATAAATTAAGGAATTTCTTTGGGGAGTTTGCAACTTGAGGAGACTGCTGACATTCAGGCGATAGTTAAAGGCGAAAAGGATGGGAAAGGGAAGTGAAAAATGGAGAGAAGAATAGTTGATGGGTAGTATTCTGCACACACCTGAACCAAGAAAGCCTTGCAGTTTAGGAGCAAAATCCACCATGCATAGTGTTTTTCAACTGAAATTGAAATCGCATATTTTACTTCAAAAGAATTCATTTTTTTTTTTTTTTGCATTTTTACTAGCATTGTTAATACATTTTGTTTGTCATAAGTACATGTAGGTAATATGCTGCTAAGTTTTTTTGTATTTGTATAACTAGGCGGTGGTGGACGTGGAGGATTTAAAGGAGGAGCCAAAGTTACCATTGAACCACATCGGCATGAAGGCAAGTACCATGATACATGGGTTGTTAAAGGAAAAACAGCTCAAGTTGTTTTTAGTTGTGGTGATCTCACAATTGCTAATAAGCTAAATCGTTTTGCTGTGGTAGTAATAACAGTTGTTCATCAGCGTAGTTTCTTCATTCTGCTTTTTGTAAACATATATTTTTAGACCTGCCGTGTATCTCCTAATATAAAACTAAAGAAAAATTTCATTTCTTGTAAGATTTATTATTAGTTATATTCAAAAATCTCAAACACAGCAATATGTTAGTTTTGCTTATGAGAATACATTGTCATGGCAGGGCAGGTACTGAAACACTTGTGAAGTCACTTACACCCCTTTCTCATGTTTGATGTTTTCCTTTAGGAGTGTTTATTGCACGTGGAAAGGAAGATGCATTGGTCACAAAGAATATAGTACCTGGAGAGTCTGTGTATGGCGAAAAAAGGATATCGGTTGATGTAAGAATAATTATATTATATTTATAAAGTAAAAACTTCTAGGATACAATATCTTTCCGACTTCACTTTTTGCACCACATTATATTTTGTGTTTTTAAATTATTCAGTGTGCATGTTCTGTACAAAACCCTTGGCATCTAGTAAGACGGAGAGAGAGCAGGGTGCAAAGAAAGTCAGCTTTACAGCTTTCCATTTGGACAAGCTGTAGCCAGTTTGCACTCGCAGTTTGCACTTTTGGATGAACAGGATTGATTACAGTTCTTCTGTTATTTGAATTCCCCAAGAAACTTCAATTTCTAGTCGGACAAGTTAACAACAGAATTCACTTGCCTGACCACAAAATCCACTAGCCCAGGGCTATCAGGCACACTGGAGAGATTTTGTAAGTACCACAGCATACATAAGGAGATTTACAGCACAACCTTCACCAAGGAAAACTGTTTTACCGGGGAAGTTAACAAAGGCTTTGAAACTAGACATACAGTAGTGCTTTGTAACTATTACAGTGGAACCCTGTTAATATGGGCACCAGTGGGCCAAAAAATTTGGCCATATTAACGGCTGACCATATTAACAAGCTATTTCCTAACAAGAAAATGTATGGTCGTTTTGCTAGGCGGCAAGAAAAAGTGGCTGTAATAACGAGGTGACCGTATTACTGAGGTGTCCATAAGGCGGGGATCCACTGTATATTGGTATCATTCAGTTTTGAGATTTAAAACACATAAGCTGCTCTCTATGTTGATTTTGTAGGGTGCAGCGGATGCTGAAAAAATTGAATACAGAGTTTGGAATCCTTTCCGTTCAAAGCTTGCGGCTGCCATTCTTGGTGGAATTGACAAAATTCACATGCCTCCTGGTTCCAAAGTGTTGTACCTTGGAGCGGCATCAGGAACAACAGTGTCACATGTCTCTGACGTTGTTGGACCTGTAAGTATGACATACAATGTACAACTGTATGATTGCCAAAAATTAATTTTAACTTCAGTTTAGAACGATTTTCGCATGACCTTGAAATGAAAACACGTGAAGAGAACAGAAACAACAAGGGAACAGAATTAGAACGATTAGATTGGTTTATCGAACGTGCATGGCTATTGGTTGGTTCAGAAAACAGGCAGGTGAAACTTCATGCCTGAGAACTTTCCGCAAATCAATTGATACTTTGCTTCGACGTCATACTGCAATACGACTGGCCAACTGAACAATGCCTTCTCCATAGGTTTTTCTTTGGTAAAACAGAGAGTCCACGTTTTGATCTTTTCATCCATCGGCTGATAAAAGCAAACCAAAACCATTTTTCAAGGTCATACAAAAGTCACTCTATTTAGTTTATGAATGTTTGTACACTAACTTGGGAGTGGTGTGTCACAAGGCTCTACCCTGGCAGCACCCTGTGGCCCTTGGTACTTTACTTTCGCTCCTGAGGGACAAGAAAAAAAAAAAATAATTATATTGTGCAAATTACATGTGTATATGATCAAAATGTGCATCACATATAAAAGCATATTACTAACAAAAAACTATAAAAAGTTAAATGTACGTGGTCAAAAATTTACAAAATATCTATTGGATCTGGTAAAAAGCTAGTTTAAAAAAGGTCTTAAGCAACATTTTAAAGGTATTAAAAATTTTCCCGTTATGAATATTAAGGGCAAGCTGTTCCACAGTTTTGGTCCCGCCACCAAGAAGGTGCAGTCACCAACTTTCGTACGAACAATAACTCTTGGAGCTTGTAGGAGGAGTCCTACATACTAATCCTCTGGTGGGCACCCTGTACAATATAGATTTCATAGCTAGGTTCAGAGCACTGGTCTCGCTTCAATTTTTCTTAGAGCACAGCCTTTGTGGCCCAGAAATCAGCATGCTGGGTTCCCAATCCTGAAACCCCAGGTTTGAATCCTCCTTTGAGTACTAGCTGAAGTAGCTGTATTTTGCATGAGCCCCAAGTTTAACTTCTCTGCCACACTCATGATAAGTCAACTGGCAACATCCAGCCCATTACTGTAATAAAAGATGGGTTGTTCCTTTTAGATTAAATTTGTGATTACATGTGTGTGAGTGAAGTGCCTGCTAACTAACTTGAGCAGTTAGTGATAAATAAGTGCACTAGTAACCAAGATTTATTTGAGTTTTGTCTGAATGATGTTTTTTTATTTTGGACTCAAAAAACTTCAAAGAACTTTTCCTATGTTTGGCAACCTTTAGCTAGTGGATGTGTCTGCTCAGTGACTTTTCACTCGTTCCCTGTTGCCAACATTAATCAAGCATTAAGCATCTCTGAACTTCCTTGTTAATTTTGACCACGGCTTGGAAGGAATTGCTATATGCTACATGTACAACAACACACAAGTGGAGCATTCAACATACACATAGTAATACAGTGAAACCTGTATTAATAATTGTTTGCCTGCTCATACAAGTGTTAAAGGAGCTGTGTCACAAAATTCAGCCAAATTAGGTAATTACAAAATGCCCGTTGAATTAAGAAAAACAAAAATAATCGCTTCGAACATTAAAGGAATGTTAAAATAACACAACAGATACAACAAATGCCACGGATGGGCAAAACTGAAGAAGATTGAAACAGATTGAAATTTGGGTTTTTGAAAACTGTTCAGCCTAACAGTTTTTCAAAGTTGATCTCTGCTATTTGCAACCTCAAAAATAATGCTCAGGAGACATATTTGTTTGTGTCGAATCTCTGCTTGTGTCATTTACTAGTAATTTCTTTGCTTACTTTAAGTTCCATAGCTATTAAGGGCGAGTAACTCGCAAAATTAAACAAAATAAACTGAACTGCCGTGACACAGTCCCTTTAAGGAGTCAAATACCATTCAAATGAATGGTGGAAATGTTTGGAATACTGCCAGAGACCAGAATATACACTGTACTGAGTTTTTTGTATTTGACTTCACCTCAAATGTGAAGAGATCAAAATGAGAAAAATGAAGGCTTCGAGTACGCATTGCGATGTGACTGATTTTCTTGAAAACTAGCTGTAAAGGCATTGTGTACGTACCTGTATGTATTTTGAATTTCTTTTTTGCTTGTGGCTTGTGTGTTTGACAATATTGATGCAACTTGATGTGACATGATTAGCTCTTAGACTGAACTAACAGAAATGAGAAGATCAGTCAAAATGATGTTTATTTCTTTGTTATATCTTCTAGGATGGTCTTGTGTATGCAGTTGAATTTTCTCACAGATCGGGACGTGATCTCATTAATGTAGCTAAGAAAAGAACAAACGTTATACCAATTATTGAAGATGCAAGACATCCTCATAAATACAGAATGCTGGTTGGTGAGTAAAGAAAATGTTGATAACTTTACAAGACTATTCAAGAAANAAATGAGAAGATCAGTCAAAATGATGTTTATTTCTTTGTTATATCTTCTAGGATGGTCTTGTGTATGCAGTTGAATTTTCTCACAGATCGGGACGTGATCTCATTAATGTAGCTAAGAAAAGAACAAACGTTATACCAATTATTGAAGATGCAAGACATCCTCATAAATACAGAATGCTGGTTGGTGAGTAAAGAAAATGTTGATAACTTTACAAGACTATTCAAGAAAGAAAAGCTTAGCCTGAGATAAAATAGCCACCACTGGTTTCCTCGTGAATTCAGAAATGACGTGTGACCAACGACTGCAGAAATTCCATACTGATAGGCATCACTACCCAGATGTGGGTAGTGCTTCCGACTGGTTGAAGCAAATTTCTCTTGTGGTATAACCAATCAGAAGCACTACCCAGATCTGAGTAAGTGACATGTCACCTGTGTGGGATTTCTGCAATTGTTGCCCAGACGTCATTTTTTTCAGTTAGTGGTGGCTTTGTGAAATGTAGTTGTCTAAAGGCAAAAGTAGGTCACTATGGGCCATGGGGCACTATTTAGTGTATAGCCCTAATGACATGCAGACAAGTTAAGAAAGAGTTGCACTATTAATCAGGAGTACGGTAACCAACCAGACCAAATTAATAGTTTGCATGACAGTGATAGGTAGCTTGTGCCACAGCCGAAACTTAACTGTGGTTAAGTCTGTCTGCGAAACAGGTCCAAAATCCTTCATCTGCCTACTAACTGCCTACTAAATGGGGTTAAATTATGTCTGTGACACAGGCTAGTGATGGGGTAAAGCAGAAATTTTTGGGAAAGACTATTATCTCATTTTCAAAGTGACTGGTCGCATGTCCAGCCAATCAGTTCTGACTTGTGGGCTAGTACATGCTAGCTACAGCTTGCCCGAATGAAAGCCTGTAGAACTAACTGTCTTTGCACCCTGGGTAAGCACCCGTAGTGTAACAAGTTAACGATATTATTTTGACTTATTACCTGAATTGAGAAAGACAATGGTCACACAACACTGCCAAATTTTCGACAGGTTGAAAATTTGTGCATTTTAGTTTGATCATTGTATCGCTTGTAATAAATTATGAGTTGTTTGGGTGAGCTAAAAAGCTTAAGAGCTCAAAGTGTTCGTGAGGTCAGTGCATAGTAGTTATGCATGCAATTTTCAGGATATGTGGAAATAAAAGTCAGCCAGGCCTATAGATAGCTGAAAAGCTGGCTACGCCCCTGGCTGTCGTAAAACAATCCAAAATGTGACATTTTTTTATTGCTAGAATTGAAACATTGTAGCTCTGCAGGGAATCATCTGCAGCTTTTGAATCTTCTTGTGGTGGTTATTGACTTTACAAAAGTTTGTATTTTTCTCCCAAACAAATGCAACATTCATTCATGTTATGAATCTTCAAAATACGAGTTGCTGTTGGTTAACCATTTTAAATTAAACTGGATCTCTTAATCTCATTACCTTTTAGGCATGGTGGATACTATTTTTGCTGATGTTGCTCAGCCTGATCAGGCTCGTATTGTCGCTATAAATGCTCACAATTTCCTTAAAAATGGAGGGCATTTTGTCATATCAATAAAGGTCAGTAAAGTACTTTGTACCTACAGTAAGATCCCAGTTTGTAATAAGATCCCCCCCAAGATATAAGCCTCCATTACAAAATTGAATCAAGCCCAGGCCAACTCTTTCCGATTATCTGGCAGTATCCCAGAAATGACAAAAAATAAATGTTATTTTTGAGCTTTTCTGTGATTTAGCTTAGAATTAAGCTCATTTTCTCCCAAATTCAGAAAAGGGTTTCGATCATACACGATAAGACTGTGTATATAAGGTTCTGAAATACACTCATGATATGTGGTTGATATAGCCTGCATTGCAGCCGCCCCATGCACTTGTCTTAACCATTTATATAGTTGTATACAGAAGGTTTAGAGCATCTGCGATGCAGGCAAGGTTGATGTTGGGGGGGTTCTACAAAGGTAATGGTTCCCAGAATTTAGATCTCCAGAGGTTGGCATCTCTCCATCAAATCTGGGGTTGATTGTTTGACAGTCTATGAACACTTTACAACCTTACTTGAGTACAGTAAAGCTTGAAATATCTACCTCTTTAAATTTTGGTATGTTTATTTTTAGGCAAATTGCATCGATTCAACGGCAGAACCTGCTGCAGTATTTGCTGGTGAAGTAAAAAAAATGCAAGCTGAAAAAATGAAACCTCAGGAACAGTTAACACTGGAACCATATGAAAGAGACCATGCTGTCGTTGTTGGAGTGTACAGGTAACCGTTAGATACATAGCTTGCGTGTAGACGTCTCTGTCATGTATTTCCTTTTTGTTTGTTGCATGCGTGCAACAACAGAAATAAGAAGCAAAAGATAAATACTTAAAACTTGCTGTACTTGAAGCAGTCAATACCTTATATCCTTGAATGCTGGAAGCATCGCAGTAATTATTATTAGACCAAAATAAGGTGTTATTTATGCAAAAGGAAGGCTCTTAACTGTAATCAAGGGGGTGTTTCTAAACTTAAACTTTACTTTGTCTATATCTTTATCTCTGAAAACTTGGAAATACTGAGAAAACTTGAACTACGAGAGGAGGCACTGTGCTTGTACATGTGCTGTGTACAGTGGTGACAGCACGGTCAAAGCTAAAGAAATTGTAATAGTAAGACAACAAAGAGACTTTCCTCATAGAAGGGAGGGACTCTAACTCTTGGGGGTTCCCATTAATTTTTCTTGCTTGTCTGATGGGTGGATACCATTTCAATGATTATTCATTATGGTGTAGGGTTTTGTCGGTGCATAGGCACCTAAGCGAAGAAATTGGTAAGCTAAAACTAAGTTTGGATAAATTTAGGTTTCTGGGAAACTGCCCACCTACCCCTCCCCTAAGCTAACATTAACAACTACTTCTCACTTAGGGCAAAATGCTGGCTTAGGGGAGGGGTAGGTAGGCAGTATCTCAGAAACCTAATTTGATGCCTAAATTTTTGTCGAAGGGTTCCTGTTATTAATTTGTCATTGTCGTCTTTAATCTTCTTTCCAGACCGCCACCAAAGAAGGACAAGCAATAGCACATCTTTTTTTCTTGTTTAGGATTTTATTGTAACTTAATGCTGTTTTCAATAAAAAGACTGTTGATTGCTGTACTGTGAGACTCCAAAAGATTTCTTCCTTGGTGTACAGTAAAAACCCACATATAAGAACCTGGAATTTTTGAGATCTGGCTGAACAGGTTCTTATATTTTAGGGTAGTTTTTCACAAATCAGGCTTATTAGGTCCTTAATAGGTTCTTATTTCTCAGAGATTGTCTTAAAGTAACCAATGATAGAAAAATTGTACTATTAATACATAATGGTTTATGGAAAACATATTTTTCGTGAAAATCCAAACAAATGAATTGTAAATCAAAGAAACCATTACACGAAAACTTTTTGTCAGAAGTTTCTCACACAATTAACATCCGGAGTTTTGACCATCAAAATTGGATGATTGTTTTTTTGTACAAGAACCTATTTTTCTTTCCAGGCTGAACAGGTTCTTATATTTTTGGGTATATAAATGACAAATTTCAGACAATGATAGAATTTTTAATTTTTTTGACCAAAATAATGGCTTCTTTAATCTAGAACATCAATCATTATTATTTCTGGCCTTGTATTCTTCAAAATTCCCCTTTGGAAAAATTCGATTTTTGGGACTCAAAAAATGATTATTTTTATGATGTAAAAAAGCCTTGTTTCTTTCGAGAACATCATTCAACATTATTTCTACCCATATTTTAAACCCAAACTAGATAAGGAAAAACTTTAAAATTTTAGACAAAAACTATGGGTTAACCCCTTTGGAAAATTGGGATTTTTGGAGCGTTCAAAAAATTCCAATTTTATAGTCTAGAAAGGCGTCTTTTTTTATCTAGAACATCATTGATTATTATTTCTGGTCTTATTTTCTTCGAAACTAGATGAAAACAAACTTTAAAATTTTTGACCAAAATCATGGTTTAACCACCTTGAAAAAGACTGACTTCTTGGACTTTAAAAATGGCCTTTTTACAGTCTAGAAAGACGTCTTTATTACGTGCAACATCAATCATTATTACTTTTGGCCTTATTTTCGTCAAAACTAGATGAAGACAAAACTTTAAATTTTTGATAAAAATCATTGGTTAACCCCTTTGAAAAATTGTAAAGTTTGGAACTTTCAAAAAATTCCATTTTATAGTCTAGAAAGGCGTCTTTTCTTATCTCGAGCATCAATCATTATACCCTGGGTACCAGAGGTTTTTTCTCGCGTGCAACGGAGAGCTTCATTTTCGTCGGCCTCAGGCTGACACGTGTTCGGTCGCGCGGGTCACTTTTTAAGACTTGACCGAAACCGGAAACCAGGCATGAAAAGCCTCTGGCACCCAGGGTACAATCATTATTATTTCTTGTCTTATTTTCTTAAAAGTAAGATAAAGAATAAACATTTTTTTATTACCAAAACCATGAATTAATCCGGGTTTTGCACTTTGGAAAATCGCTTTTGTTGTAGTCTAGAAAGGTTATCGACTCCTGGTTATCCCCTTAAAAAAAAAAACAAAACGATTTTTGCCTTTTGAAAGATGGCTTTTTTATAGACTAGATAGGCGTCCTTTTTATCTATAACATTAATAATTTTTTCTGGCCTTTTTTCTTCAAAACTAGATAAAGAAAAAAAAAAATTTTTTTGACCAAAATTATGGTTTAAAAGGCTGATGTTTTGGACTTCCAAGAATGGCCTTTTTTATTGTCTAGAAAGACGCCTTTTTATGTAGAACATCAATCGTTATTATTTGTGGACTTATTTCCTTCAAAAATAGCATTCGGTAAAAACTTAAAAATTTAAAAAATGGAAAAACTTTAAATTTTGACAAAAACCATGGGTTAACCACGTTGGAAAATTTCGATATTAGAACTTTTTAATATGGCCATTTTTATCACCTAGAAAGGCAACAACAACTCGCCACATCATAAGTTCCATGAGCCTGGGTGTCCTGTGGTGGGACCTGGGACCGAGAATCAACTAAGATGGCGCCTGAAAAACGTACGTGTTCAAAACTTGAACTTTACAGTGATTTCACCGTTTGTACTGAACTTTAACACCGTGGCTTAGACGGTTAACCACCTGGTGGCTTATTCGTCGTTGTTTAGCTCCTTTACGTGCATAGCAATGTGCTACTTCAGCGACGGGAAACAAGCTTTGACTCAAAGCAGCACAAAAAGGTCAGTCGGCCCGGAGGTTAAATAAAGGTAAGGCTCATCTGAGATCGTAGAAAAGTGGTAGAGACTAAGATTCTTTTATGAATGTAAGAATTTACATTTTTCAACTGCTACATGCAGGGCTTTCAACCCCCCACGTCTTTAAGTATTGAGAATTGATAGGGAAGAAATGATAGATGACGTCATACTGTGTGTAACTCCAATAATCAGAAATTTGCGATGGCTTAACTGCAGAATACCCTGCCACTTTAAAGCAACCTCCCAAAAAAGGTGGATATGGGGATACTCAGTCACCACATACGTATCCTCGTATCCGTGTATCCACTTAGTAAATATCTTTTAAATAATATTCACTGCATATCCACGTATCCACTCTGATGTACACTTATGACAGCATAAAAAGCATACAGGCTAGTATGTCTATTTGTCGTTCTTAAAGCCACTGAAGGTAGAAAAGCGCATAAAAGGGATAACTGCATATCCACAAAACTTCATGCAGGGCTGGCACCATGGCAAAGGGCTTATTTATATTATAGGCCAATGTTTCGGCTAACAAAATTAGCCTTTCTCAGGGCCAGAACCATACCGAGAGAAAATATCTTTTACCGGCTCCTAAAATTTGAATTTAAAATTCACATCAAGTGGTTAATAATTAACTACAATTATAAATACTAGAATAATATACAGGTAGATGATTATACAATAAAAATAGAAATAGAAACAGTTCAATTTTCATTTCTTCCGTTCAGACCATCTGGTGACAGGGTTTTGCCATCCATGAGGTACGCTTCCCTTCCTGTACGGTTAAGCGGAATAAGTTCCATGTCTGTGATCGAGTGGCCAGGTTGATTAAAGTGGGAAGGGACTCTTGCTGTGGCGTTTGCGTGGTTGCCATATTTGACTGATATGTCTACAGAGTACGTTACTCGGCTATGTGGTGCCCAAATTAAGAGAGAGTCACCTCTCTACAACAGCCACTTTCTTCGGTCCCCAAGGTGGCCATTGTGGAGAGGTTCAACTGTATTTAAAAATACCTTGGAAGTCTAAAATTATCATGTACACTTATATGTAGCTTTGCTCAATCTTAAATTTTTTATTTTGTTTTTTAGACAGAAGAGAATAACAAAGATTTGTCTTAAACAGGGTCAGGACAGATCTTAAGCTATTCAAAAGTGGCTCCAACAATAGAGGAGTAGCTGAAGTGAAGGACATCATGGCCACAGAAAAGAGATCATAAGTTGCCAGGTTGGTTATTTTGTTAACCTTCGTTAATAATACTCTCAGTGGTTACCTACTGAATTTTAGAAAAAGATTTAGCTCTGGAAAGTTTGCTGACACAGGCCAGGAAGTCATTTGAACATGGCAGGGCTTTCGCTGAAATTTCAGGTGTCTTGGTATATGAAATTTGTAGGGGGAAATTAGCCTGAGAAAACAGCCATTTCTCCTTGCTCCTTGCCGCTGGCAATGTTTCGTGAGGAGCAACGTTTACGACTCATGTTTCCTTTGAATTATTTGTTTCGTCATCCCTGAAAAGCCCCATAAGGGGAGAGGATAATATTAGTTGTTTAAAAACAGAATTAAAAATTTCAATTCCTCCTAGGATCTACTGCTCCATGTACGAATGATTGCTAATTTTTTGAATAAGCCACTATTTGATGATTTCATCAATCGTATTGCAGAGCAATGTACATTCAAGAAAATGAAGAAAAATGATATCAGTTATAAGATTCGGAACGAAGAGAGTTCCTTGCTTCTCCGGAAATGAGTGGTCGGTGGATGGAAGAGTTACTTCACTCCAGAACTGAATGAGAGATTTGAAAAGGAAGTGTTGGAAAAACTGAAAGGAACTAGATTAGGATTTGATTTTGAGATATAAAAGACAGCGTTTGAGTAGTGGATCGATAAATTCCTAGTTTGTGCATCCAAGTAATAAAATTCACTAGTGTCTAAAATGCGTTTATACAGAGGAAACTTTTAACGTTTCTGTGGACAGATAACGTGCTACATCGCATACTACCCACATTTTCAGTGTCAAAGAGAGACAATTTAGGCCAGTAAAGGACGCTCTGTGTGTGTCAGGTCGTACCTCAGCATAGTATATAGTATAAGTCTATAGGTGCTGATAAAAAAATTAAGTTAACACTCCCAAAATACGGTATTGTATCCGCAAAATGTAATTATTGCCTTTTTTGCTTTATAAAATGTCAGGATATTTTGTCTTGAAGTTATTATGATCTTTGCTTATCTTTCCTCCTGAAGATTCATGGCTCGTCAAGTAATTGATTCAGTTTTGCCAAAAGAACTGAGGAACTCCTCATTTCCCAATAATAGTGCTGTATTAGCTCCTTACCTTACATAATTAGGCACAAGGATGGCTTCGTACTTAATCATTTAGGCTCAGTTTTTCTCATAGAAAGTGGCGGAAAATTTCCTACCCGCGTTTTGCGAGGAAAAAAAAAAGCCGAACTTCTGCCTAAAAACATAGCAAGACCAGCAATAACACAATTCAAGGGATAACATTTGCTACTTGAAGATATGGTAGTGACTATATTGTAAGACGAGAACATCGGTCGAGGTAATCATGTTTTTAAGCATATTTTTGATGAACAATAAAAAGTAGTCTGAGAATATGTGCAGTCATGACTAACCAATCATGATAATCGTCATCGTCACCACGAACATCAACATCTTGCAACATCACCACTATCATCTCTATCATCGTCATTATCATCATCTTCATCACCCTCATCATCAACAACGTCATGATCATTATCACTACTAGCACCAACACCACCATCAACGTCAGTATCGTCATCATCATCATTTTCTTCTTCTTCTTTTTCTTCTTTATCATCAGCATTATCATCATTATCACCATTTTGTCGTCAAGTCTCATTAGCTTCTGTCGTTCAGTTTGCTGTCAGGGTCTTAAAAGGAATCATCGGTTTTTCATCGATTAGCCCTAGGCAGTATTGAAAACAGCGCACAATGTTTGTTTTGCATTTTTCAAAAGAAATCTGTATTTCCTTGTCTTCTGTCGTTCAGTTTGCTGTCAGGGTCTTAAAAGGAATCATCGGTTTTTCATCGATTAGCCCTAGGCAGTATTGAAAACAGCGCACAATGTTTGTTTTGCATTTTTCAAAAGAAATCTGTATTTCCTTGTTAAGGAAGCAAAAATTGATAAAAGCTTTTCCGATACAAACTATTTTAAACTCTCATGGATGAAGCTCAGTAGAACAGGTTGTTCAAGTGGTATAATTTCTAATTTGCAAGATCTGGGACCTATAATCAACCATAATCCGAAGTTTACACCCTTAATCGAGACAACGAGC